AACATTGTGAAACTTATAAGTGGCGAGTTTGGTCAAGATATCTTGAAAAAAAAAAAAGTTTTCCATACAACAACTTATTTTTCGACCGAATTTTCCTATGGCAGCTATATGATAGTGGTCCGATGTTGATAGGATTTTGCAAATACATGAGGAGCATAGTAAAACTAATAAATGCCGATTTTGGTCAAGATATCGTGATAAACAAAAAAGTTTTTCATACAAGAACCTACTTTTCGACTGATGGTTCCTATGGCAGCTATATGAAGAACGATGTACTTTTGTAAGGTTTCATAAAGATAGACAAGTTCGCATAGAAACAGACAGACGGACAGACGGGAATATCGACTCGACTGTTGATACTGATCAAGAATATATTATATTATATAAAAAGTTGGAATATGAAACTTAGTCGTGTTAGTGTGCACAAAACTGGATATTAAAATACTACAATTCTTTTTGATATATTTTCATAGAAATCCGAGATGATATCCTTATTTAAATGAGGAGCTACGTTTCTTTATCAAAACCCAATCTCTTAAAGTGAATTCTTAAGACTATCTAAGCTTGGGACTTGGTATACTTACAGAAATATGAAAAATTGCTGACAATGAGGTGATTGATATAGGCTAATACCGATTTCTCTGGCGTCATTATTGTTGTTGTTACTGTTTTTTTTTTGTTTTTTTTGTAATTGTGTGTTGTAGTTCCTAGTTATACCTGAGTGTACGTTACGTGTTTAGTTTAATGATTGCCCACAAAACTTTGCCTGCAATGAAAACGAAATTATAAATCAATACAAAATGCATACGTCAGCTAAAATTTAAATATAAATGTGTATGTATGTACATATAGAATTTCAAAAACATTTTTACGTTTTCATTTTCAGCCCCAACAAACTTTCGACGCGTCAGCGACCATAACCGAAACAAGTAAGAGGCTCTAGTCGGGAGCTCCCGACTAAGGGATACCCTGAACCCTCTTCTAACATCAATTGCATATATATATTCTATTTTAGAAGCTATAAGCCAAGTTTGGTGACTCTTGCTCTTATTATTTACCAAAATTGCCCAATAAACAGGATATCGATATCGATTTTTATCGATTGCTTGGAAACGGAGTAAGTTATCGATTATCGGAAACAAACTCGATCTGCGCGGGAACTAGGAGCACCTACATCTAAAATTTCTGAGATCCTTGCGTTCATACATATGGACGGACAGACGGACGGACGGACGGACGGACGGACATGGCTAAATCGACTCGGCTTTTGATGCTGATCAAGAATATATATACTTTATGGGGTCGGAGATGCTTCCTTCTGCCTGTTACATACATTTGGCTTTCGCACAAATACAATATACCCTTATACCCATATTTAATGGGTTCAGGGTATAAAAAGAAAAACAAAATGTCCAGCATAAGTTATCAATTTTCCGCCTAAATAGACAATTTATAATTGCCATTATTACAATAACAAGCGATTAAAAAACGCTCATATTAATAATTATATTGTGTGCGATTACCATATACTTATATAGGGGGGAGAGAACATTAATCCAATCGTTTTTAGCAGGCAATTAACCTGTGCTCGGATTTTGAATAGCGCACCAAGCTATATGAATTATTTAATATTATCAATAAAGCTCAGCTTCTAGAACAAATAATATAGCAAATATATAATTGCAATGTCACGGCCCGTTGTCTATAATTCTGTTTATGTTTGCTCAAAGTTTCTTCTCCGACTGCAGCTGTTACTCCCCGAAGCAAATAGGTTAGACATATGAGATAAGTTTGTTCTATTGCCTTTATCTTTTAAATGTTATGTACGCAGTTGTCATAAAGTACTTAGTCGACGTGTAGATACCCTATAAACCAAATGTGCCTAGTCTTGAGAACTGGAATGTACATTTTGTGTAAGCATTTTCTTTGTTTCCCCTTTTATTTGCTAAGAGAAGTCTTTTAACAATTTAAGTCCCTAGTTCTTATTTTAAATCTGTTTTTATATCATTTTTCTCTTTTTTTCTTTAAATTATAAAAATCTCAAAGTTTACAAATTCACCCGATAGTGTTGTTTTCTTGAAATCCGAAAATATCTTGAAAATATATATTGTGGAAATACCAACACACTGTATAACCCATAATTATATTGCTCTGACTCGACATTAACTGGAACTAACAAATAGCCTTATAAAAATGAAGAAAATCTGATATCATTAAAGATATAATATCATATATAGTATAATATGGAATAATATTGTATCAAATTGGCAATTTAAAAATACGAGTAGATATTATAAAAAAAAAAACTATTGAGTTCTTAATTTATTACATCATGAGCGACGCTTTAGATTGATATAACTAGATAAATTGTTGAGCAGGTTTTGCGAAATTCCCAGCTAACATGTTGCAAAGGTTTTTCCGGAAAAACAACAAGCGCATTTATAATTTATGTCAATGAAATCAACTTACGATCAGATGTAAATGCAACTAAGCTAAAGTTGTTGCAAAATTCTCTAGATTCTCTAATGGAATGCATTTCAGCCCAGCTATTAATAGCGATTCATTAGGTGATTAGTCTAAGATATGTGAGTACTAATAGAATAGTTAAGACCTCGTTACCTTCTGTGAGTCTTTGGGGCTTATTTATTCATGTTTCTCCCTTCCAACTGCCTCTAAGCTCCACTTCTGGCACATCCCAGCGAGACAGAGCTGATAAATGCATACTTATATGGTATATATACATATATATATATATATAGAACATGCTTGTATATAGACCGATTGCAAAGCGGACTTTATCAGCGTGAAACTGAAACTTTGCACTCTTTTTAATGAGATTATGCACTCGAGTGGCGAAAGAGCAAAGAACGGACCCATTGTTGTCCCACTGTCTAGAGCTAAGGAATTATGCAATGGCACTTAGCTAAAGGCCTATATTGATTACCTATGCTGAAGTTTTACCGGGTCTAACGGAGCCAGTTGTTCCACGGTACGAAAAAAAGCAAGAGCAGGAGCAAGAACAAGAGCAGGAGGTAACCAATCAGGAGAGAGCCGGGCCTCGTGCTTGCTGATTGCGAGGTCAAGGCAGTTCCAGAGGCCTTTGGTCTCTTGTATTGTTACATTTTGGTGTGTTGTTTTTTTTTTTGGCAACTGCATTGCGGCTTGGGGAGCATTGATTTTTCACTAAATGGAATGGGCGAAACACGTGCGTTTCATACGTGTGCAACTTACCACGGCTGAAACTTGCAGTTTGTTTATCAGAGTTGATTTTTGTAATGCATTTCGGGATTTGGCAGTTTATAACCAAATGTCCACAAATAAATGTTGAAGGAAAATCAATGGATTTAACGTATTACACGGTTAGACGGCGGCACTTCTTACAGAAGGCGGCACAGGGAGGAGCGAACACAGAACCAGAAACCAGAAAGTACAAACCAAACGTTTCGAACGACTAAACTGAACTGAAACGCAGAGCCGCAAGCCAAACAAGAGAAACCTACCTCGACTGAGCCTCAAGCCAAGACCCAAAGTCAGTTTAGCTCGGCTCGAATGGCCAATGGAGCGGCGGGGCATGCGTGCATCAACGACGGCGACGGCGACGACAGCGGCATGAATGAAGCAGCGAGAACAGCAATGACAGAGAGCAAGAGAGCGAGAGAGAGAGAGAGCGCGTAAAATGCTGAGAGGGACAACAGTCAAAACAAATATTTTCAAGTCAATTTTAACCGGCCGACAAGCGGCTAAAAGGCAAACACGCTACACGTGCAGCGTCAGGCTGAAGCTGGCAGAACGGAAGAAACAGAATGAAAGGAAGAGAGAGGGAGAGAGATAAGAGGCGGTAGCCATGGTGGCGTGGGAGTATTGACTGGTGTCTGAGCAAAAGTGGGCAGCGTGGTGGGAAAAGGGACGCGTTATATTATGTGCATGGGAAAGCCAACACTGGGGTGGATTTGCGTCTGCTAGCCGTTACTCGTGACGCATTTGCTCCTGCAGAGCGAGGGGAGTTTCAACGAAATCAAATTGTGGCAAATAAAATATGAATAAAGCAATTTGTTGGTATATTTAATATAAGTTGAGTATGTAAAGAAAATAAAAACTGGTTGTTTATAGAAAACTGCAATTTCCGAAGATTATAATGTCCAAGCAACCATTATGACCCAATTTGTATATGTATATATTTTTAAGTCATGCTTTTGCCTCAAAGATGAATGGAAAATACAATTTGTAAAAATACTTACATCTGATTGCAACAGCTCACTTAATGCCAAATTCTTATCAGGTTTCAGTAATCCCATTTAATAGACCTCTTATATATCATGCCAAGTTCGTGTGCTGAATATTCATTTCAAATTCAATTTCCGTCTATTTACAGAATGTGAATGGGTTGCATAACACAAGCCGGTTTTTATTAAGCAACCCTCGCATCTGGCTGTTAGCGCGAAGTTGTATTTAGCTTCGCTTTGGGTGACCTTTTTGACAGCTGTTATATTGGCTCAGGAAATCAGTGGCCTGATTTAAAACAGGCCTATGAAAGTTTAAAATTATACTGTAACCTTTTAGACCTCTATAGCCTAAGCCCCTATCAAACCCAAGGCTGCAAATAATATTTGCTAGCCAGCCTGGCGTCAACCCAGCAAAAGTATCTCATGGATACGTACTGCAACGTTTTTGTGTGGCTGTCTTCAGCTCTGGCCCAGTTCTGGGCACCAAAAAAGTGTAGCATACAATTGGGCTGTTGGTTCAGTGCCCGGACATGAACCTCACATGTTTGGACTTGGACTAGGCAGCTATGCGGCATGTGTGGAACGCGCAGTACAGTGGGGCCTGGTTCTTGTTATCAGTGAAAAGTGACCACAAAACGGGACAACCGCAACTTTCAATGAATGTTTACAAATGGCACAAAAAAGCTTCAGAATGTTGTAAATATTATTTCAGTTGTTAATCGCATTCAGCTAAGTAGTTGGGCAATTAAAACGCTCAGCTTAGCCAGATTTGTGCGAATGGTCAGCGTCAGCGAGGAGGTCATCGAGATCGAGGATGCGCTCAGCTCCGAGGGCAGCTTTGCCAGCACCGTGGCAGGACAATGCTGTGGCCCAGAGCACGAATTGGACGATCGGCAAGCTGTGCAGCTAAATGATGTGGCTGCCACAGCCGAGGCCAAGGGCAAAAATAGTCCAAGCGAATTATCCGGTGGACATAACTATGCGACTAGCAAAAATGTAGCCGAGGGTAAGTGGAGCACATAAATATGTATGGATATTACATATAAAAAGCTTGAAAGAGCTTTTGTATCAGTTCACAATCAGCTGTCAATCAACTAACTCAATCTAACCTAACCTCAATTGCTAATTACGAAATACGCATTTCCCAGTGGAATAACAGCGGAAAATGGGGGGAAAGCTTATTTTGTAAGGAATAAGTTAAAGTCTTAGACCATAAACCAAAAACTTTAAGTCAATTTTTTACCTCTTCTAAATCTAACCTAACCTCAAATCCCAATTACGAAATACGCATTTCCCAGTGGAATAACAGCGGAAAATGGGGGGAAAGTTTGTTTTTTAAAGAATAAGTTTAAGGTCTGACTTTTTGACTTTTTTCAATTTTGAAGTAAGAACCATAAATTAATAACTCTAAGTCAATTTTTAAACTCTTCTGAGCTTGGATGAACAACCATATACTCAGATGTATTTTGGATAAAATGGAATATTCGTATTTAGACTTTTCGTACTTACAGGTCTCATGGACATAGCCCTGCTCTCGGCAAATGCAAATCAGCTGCGCTTCCTGATCACCTACAACCATGAGGCTTCCACGTTCTACTGCAGCCTGGTGCTGGTCATACTCTCGCTGGTGCTGCAGGTGCTCGTGGGCATTGCACTGATCTTCAAGGTATGCCAATGGGTTATTGTTATTGTTGTTGTTGATTCAGCTAACACACTCGGGGGTCCATCAACAGCGCCGCCTGAAACGCTGCCGGAGTCGACGATATATGCGAACCAACGAGGGGCTTGTGATGGGCGTTTTTCTTATCACTGTTATCAATGTGCTGCTGGCTGCATTTACCACAACCGACGGACATGCGAATTAAATTATTTAAAATGCTCTCCCTTTTGTTTTTTTTTTTTTTTACAATTAAATTGTATTTACAAGTTAACAAAGAAAAAAATTGATGTAAATGCGTTGGCAACGATCGATAGAAACCATTCGCCAGCCCAGCTAAATGCACTTGACGTATCTGACGTACGATATCTCAGCTTTATATATATAGACTTAGGGATTAGGGGATTATTATTAACCCGAGAACTCCTTCTTGACGCACTTGGCAATGGTGCTCAGCTGCATGTTGGTGGTGCCCTCGTAGATGGCGCCGATCTTGGCATCACGATAGTATTTCTCCTGGGGGAAGTCGCGCGTGAAGCCGACGCCGCCCATCCAGTCGATGCACTTGGTGGCCGCACGCTGGGCCACCTCCGAGGCGTAGAACTTGGCCATGGCCGCCTCCTTCAGGAACGGAACACCCGCCTCCTGCAGGCGCGCCGCATTGTAGGTGAGCAGGCGAGCCGCCTCGATCTCCGTGGCAATCGTGGCGATCTGGTGCTGCATGGACTGGAAGTTGTAGATGGCGTCGCCGAACTGTTTGCGCTCCAACAGGTACGGAATGGTGGCATCGAAGGTGCCCTGGGCCAGGCCCACCATCTGGGCGCCGATGCCAATGCGGCCCTCGTTCAGGAAGCCAGCGGCATACTTGTAGCCATGTCCGAAGGTGCCCAGGATATTCTCCTCGGGTACGCGCACATTGTCGAAGGTGATCATGCAGGTGCCAGAGGCGCGAATGCCCAGCTTATCCTCGGGCTTGTTCACAATCAGACCGGGAGTTTCGCGATCCACAATGAAGGTGGTAATGCCACGATAGCCCTGCCAAATATAGGATTGAGATTGGGATTAATTATAAATAAATGGAAGTTGAATGATGCGATATACTCACATCCTCAGGCTTGGCATTGGCAAAGACGAGGAAAACACCAGCGACATCTGAGTTGGAGATCCACATCTTGGTGCCATTCAACACATAGTGAGAGCCATCCTTCTTGGCCACAGTCTTCAGGGAAAAGGCATCGGAGCCTGCGCCCGGCTCCGTCAGCGCAAAGCTGCCAGCATATTCCTGGGCCAGCTTGGGCAAATACTTTGCCTTCTGCTCCGCATTGCCAAACTTGATCATCAGCGAGTTGACCAATGTGTTGTGGATGTCAACGAAAGCTGCCACCGCCGGATCGATCTTGGACAGCTCCTCGACCACAATGATGTTGGTCATGAAATTGCAGCCGCTGCCGCCCAGTTCCGTGTCAATCTCAATGCCCATCAGGCCATTCTCGAAGACGGCCTTTACCACGGACGGATCGAATTTGTGCTCAAGGTCCATTTTCTTGACCAACGGCAGGATTTGATCCTGGGCCAACTTGGCAACTGCAAACGAACACAACAATCCAAAGATCCATCAAATAAATATATAACGGCCATAAAAGCTCTTATTGAATTTATTGACTCTTGTTCTTTTATTACCCAATGGGAGATAAGCAAAGATAAAACTTTTCCACAACAGCTTTCGAGCTTTGTCCAAAAAAAGCGCACAGTTATTAATAAGATCGGTGAGCTTTGAAAAAAGCTTTGCGTCTTATTTGTGTTCCGTTAAGAAAGCTTTCTAACAAGCTTTAAAAGTCGTTAAACTAAACTGGTTCCCATAACGCTTCTATTTGAGTGCTGCTGTGTGCGCGCGCGCGTGTGTGTATGTGTGTGTGTGTGTGTGTGTGTGTGTGTGTGTGTGTGTGTGAGCTTGTTTTATTGCTGTGTGCGTGTCTACGCGTGTGTCCGCTTTATCAATAATGCCGCTGATTCTCAACTCGTGTGGCGCTCTCTCAACGTGCCGCTCTCTCTCTCTCTCTCTTCCGATAGCTCTGCCTGCGCCTACATACATACATTCATCTATTATACATATACATACGTACGTATGTATTGCACATTTTTATTGTTTTTTATTGGTATCTCTGAGACATTTTTCCTGACGCGTTGTTTTGCTCGGAAAGCCAGCAAATGCTGCTGTGGACACCGTGCACACGCCCACTTTGCTAACTAATGCTAATTTTTTGCCATAGTTGGAAAAGTTGAATAATTAAATGAATTTATGAATCTTTTATTGTATGTGCAAACTAACTAGCTAAGAGTGCATGCACTAGCTGACAGCTGTTGTCCTGGCGCTGTCCTTGCCCTCAGTTGGTGTTAATTGAGTTGATTTAATTTAAATTGCGTATTTAGCTAACATTTTATCAAGTTTGTATGTACATATAAAATTTTTGTTTGGAGGCAACTGTACCGATAAACTGTTCAGAAGCGCTTACGCGTTTTTTTATTTTTCATTTTATTGTCAAATTTCCCAAGGTATTTTCCTGAAACTGGTTTACCGCAAACACTGGAGCACTTTGCATGCTGTAGTTGTTACGCAACATTTTGATAAGTGTATATATGTACATATACATGTATATATACATCAGATCATGCAACAGGTCGCACCTTGAACCCCCTCGCCCGCCTAATGCAATTAATATTTAAATTTGTTATCTATCGAAAAATAAATATATTATGTATTTGTCAATCCTCCAACTAGGAATCAGCGGTACATTTCAGGACTTTTACCTCCCTCCTCCACTGACTCAACTCTCTAGGCGAATTACGCGACCAAGTACCTCGCACATCCGTTGCCCGCGCGCCACTAGAACAGTGGACACAATGGGCGGGAGGCGTGGCACCAGCCGCATTATTTGCTCTATCACAAGTGTAACGCTGTGGAGTTCATATAAATTACAACTGAACAGCTGACTGACTTGTGAAAAAACCCCGAAATTGCCAAGGGAAATACAGATTAGAAAGAGAAATGATCCTTAAAAACCCTACGCTCTCCTTATCTTCTTTGCTATCTCTCTCATTCTTCTTTCATTGCCGCCGCCGCTGCCCACACTCGAACATGCGACTCTTCAGCCAACTCGAGTTTTATACAACATTTACTAAGGCAGCAACTTAACGCGCTGCGCCAGCGACGTCCAACCAGCTACGCTGTCGAAAGCAAATGCTGTTAAAGCGGCTGCGACGCAACTATTTTTAGGACACACACACACACACTCACACGAATACCCCTCAGTGCGGTGTTATGTTTATTGTTTTTTAGCCGCGTCGCAATTGTAGAAATAGTAGAACAAAAAGTGAAAATTGCAAATATTGTTTGTTGTCTTCGCTTGTTTGAAATGTGTATAAATCTTGAGTTATATAAAAAAAAAAAAACAAAATAAATACATCTGAAAAATGCCACGTTGGCAGCAAAGTGAGTATATATATTGTTATTAAAAAAAAAGTAAAATAAATTAAATAGTTTCATGATAAAAACTGATTTAAGGCGTTTTGCCACGTTCAGCTATGGATAAAAGCTGCGCATGAGCAAATTGTTATGCAAGGACACAGTTATCCTTGCATTACGCTCCTTCAGCTAAACTGAGCTTGAGAGCGCTTTTAACAGTCGAAAATTACATAATTGACCGGCTTTATTGAGTAAATTGATTAATTTAAATAAATGCACGAAAACGCCATATAAAGCGCTAAGGTTGCAAAAAATATATATATGTATGTGTATATACCCATAAATACATATGCACATTTATATGAACGTATATATGTATATGTACAAGCCATACGTCATATATAAAATTATACATATGTATGTGTGCCATACATGGAGGACATACGCATATTTATATTAACGGATATGTCTGCACAAGCCATACGTCATATATATGTGCGTATGCCATACATACAGGACATATATGTACACATGTACAAGCCATACGTCATATGTAAAATCGTATATATGTGCGTATGCCGTACTGAAAATTACCGCTGAAAACTCAATTTTCATTCAATTTTTCCACAATCGTAACTAGAATACGCTTATCTTCCATCTGGCACACGCCCTCCCCCCTCTCACGTCCTCCACCCCGCCGCATTGTCTAACAAAGCATGTACAGTTTTTTTATCAGCGCGCACACACACATACACACACATTTTTAGAAACCGAATAAAAAATATAATAAAATGCATTAATTGTGCTGGCCAAATAGGCAGCTGTAACTTAATTTTTATAATAATAAATAAGTAAATACTACAACATGCGATGATTAAATTACGTAACAAAAACCGATGTTGAACACAAAAAAAAAAAATGATTTAAAAATTTTTTGTGCACCGACTGCAAACACGCTAACTTTAGGGGCAGGGGCTCTGCGTACACGCCTATATATTAAAGTCTAGTGGCAGGACTCACCTGTCTCCTTCATCATCTTCTCATCGTCGGTGAGGTATGTCAACGGGGGAGGCAGGCCCGTCGCCGAGGACATGGCGGCGTTTTGCTGACGTGCTGCATTGGCCAGCTATAGAAGACATTAAAAGAATTCAAATTCAAAATTAGCTGGCATATTTTTGGAGGCGTGGCATTTACCTACCATACGCATGGGCAACTTCTTCAGGCTGTTCATCATCTTGTGTATATATGTGTGTGTATGTATTGAAAGCAGTAAATTCAATCAACCTGAGACACTGGAAACTGGACACTATTTTGAGCTCTTCCCACGCACAACTGCTTCAGTTGACTTCTCACGCGCGACTAATTTCCAATTAGGCTCCAGTGGCAGATTTCGGTTAGCGATCAGTAAGAAGAAAATCAAGAATTAAAAAGCTCTCAGAGCACAAACTCAACACAGCAAGTGTGCTCAAAGCGTGTGGCCGTTATGCATGGTACGGTGCTCTTACAAAAAGCGTGATTAATCTGATTATAAAACATTTTATGAAAATCACCACTGATAAGAAAACATTCCAGCCAACTCTAAACGAAAATTATTATTTGGAGTTTTTGTTTCTAAAATTAATTTGGATTATTACAATTATGTTATTATATGTTTTATTAAAGTAATCCACTATTCAACAATTCCAATTCATTTTTTCAATTCCTATCCGAATACGGATGATGTACATGTTATGTACATAACCATTGCCACTTTGTGTGGCAACGCTAGTCAACAGTGTTGCAAAGCGTATAGTAACCTTTTTGAGTACCTAATTTTGACATTTCCGCCGGTCGCAGCTGTCAAAATTCTTTCTTTTCGTTGTTGTTACGACGGTAGTTTGGTGTAAGTTTCCATGTTCAATATAATTTCGCATTTGTTCAGCCATCATCGTTTATTTTGGCGAGTTAATAATTAAAATGTGTAGTACACGCAGTGGCACACACTTTTTAAGTGAAATTGCATCGGTTTTCCTATGTTTGTCGTGTGGATATCGACCCGCGAAAATAAACAAATGCAAATTATGAGCAAATGCAAGACCTTTGAAATTTTCATGTAAATGTTGCTAATCATTGCAATTGTTTAACGTTTCCGCAGCCAGCACAACCAACCAAGATGAAATTGAACAAGTTTGTGTCGTCGTCGCGCAGGAAGAACCGCAAGCGTCACTTCCAGGCTCCCTCACACATCCGCCGTCGCCTGATGTCCGCCCCCCTCTCGAAGGAGCTGCGTCAGAAGTACAATGTGCGCTCTATGCCCATTCGCCGTGACGACGAGGTTCAGGTGATCCGTGGCCACAACAAGGGCAGCCAGGTGGGCAAGGTGGTGCAGGCGTACCGCAAGAAGTTCGTCGTCTACATTGAGAAGATCCAGCGTGAGAATGCCAACGGCACCAACGTCTATGTTGGCATTCATCCCAGCAAAGTGCTGATTGTTAAGCTGAAGCTCGACAAGGATCGCAAGGCCATTTTGGAGCGTCGCAGCAAGGGACGTTTGGCTGCATTGGGCAAGGACAAGGGCAAATACACCGAGGAGACTGCCGCTCAGCCCATGGAGACAGCGTAAATCTCCCAAGCACCCCAACAACAACAGTTACATGTGCAGCAGCAGCAGCAGCAAAAGCAACAATAACATCCAATGCCAACGCCACTGTTTACAGTTTTTACCGTAACGCTTAGTGTCAATGAGAAAACGAAATTGTGTGAAGTGTGAGAAAATGCCGAAATTCTTTAACAATAAAGAAGAGTTGAATTTTCCCAATATTTGTAAATTACAAATCTATTTCTTTTTCATTTGCCTTAGCATCAAAAGGTAGATTTTTAGCAATTGTGTTAATACATAGATAAAACCTGGACTGTGACAACGACAAAATGTGCAATTACTCCGACTGTATAAATTGTACAGCGTGGAGTAGGATTAGAAACCTAGGCGGGGGCGTATGTTTTCTTCCTCGGAGTCCATATAACATATACTATTTAATTTAGTTGATGCTTTACAACTCTTGTTTTTGGTATTCAGGCAGTTAACACTAGACTTTGATAAATTGCGTTTCTATAAAAAGTCCTGCTTTTTACAGCACTATCCCAACACAAGCAAAGCCGATTTTCACAGTACTTTCAACATATGAAAAAAATACCTTTTCATATATATTCCACTGAAACAATAACAAGGCGTAATTAAAGAGTTCTATTTAAATTAATCTTTCATAATTTTCCTAAATTGGCCCCAACAAGCCTTTATTTTAGATATTTGGATATCCTATTTATGGACAGGTCAGTTAAATGTGGGCTATATATTATATGCATAAAAAACTATATAGGAACCACACACAAACAGAAACAATTAGAACGCATGACATAAATAAAGGGCATTTTTCATTTAGCAAACGCATGTCGTAGATTTTGGGTAAGTACAAAAATTGAAATATCGATAAGTTGAACAAAGGAAATGGAAAATTCATCGTTATCGTACGGAACTGCCAACTATCGAGATCTTGGATTTGGGCGGCGCTGGATGATGCGGAGTTTTTGCTGTAACAGCATATTTGGTTTCAAAGATGGCGTCCACAAGTAAATTTGACGATTTCGTTTCTTGTCCGTATAACAAGGCGCATATTGTGCTCCGCGGACGGCTGACAAAGCATTTGGTGCGCTGCAGCCGCAATCCGGAGAACCTGAACAAGTTGCTGGTCTGCCCCTTCAACGAGAGCCATCGCTTGGATGCACAACAGTTGCAGGTTGGTAAAATGTTCGACCTGTTGCGTCTCATTGGAATACATTTTGAATTCATGCAGGCGCACATAAAAATATGTCCGGAACGTGCCGGCTTTGAGCGGCATGCACAGAAGGACGAGCAGCCGCCGTTGGCGGAGCCTGTTAGCCAAGTTTCGATCGAATGTGAAGAGGATTGGGACAACGAGCCGGATGCGCCCACCTACGATCCGAGTGCCTACTGCGAGGAGAACTTGGTGATACGCTCAAGCGGCCTACACGGGCAATCCAAGAGCGTGCGCCGAGATTTTCGGGCCAAGGAACGACGCCGTTTCGCTGAAAAACAATAAATTCGAGAAGACTTTATATATGCATGCATACAAACGATTAAATAATTATGTTTTATATAGTTAAACTTTGGCTATAAATTCGAGTTCCTGCTAGCTCAGCGCTGGCGGTTGGGCAACTTGTAGGGCGCCGAGCGCTGCGATGTCGGGCAAGTGGCTTTGCTTGGTCCTCCTCTGCTTTGGGTCTTCTCGTTGGCATCGTCGTCGCTGTCTTCGCCAAGCAGACGCTTCCGTTCCTCCTTGATGAATGCCTTGCGCTGTGAGGGGAACATGCCGTTCGGCTCACGGACAACATTTGCCGTGGCAACGTACAACTGTGGATTGTAGTCGGGCACGTCGTCGTCATCCCAGTTTTCTTCTGTTTCGATTTTTTCGTGTCTTGTATCTTCGGTCAACTCAGCGGGTGCACTGTGCTGATAATGCGCAATGATTTTACGATCGATGCATGATCTTGTGTGCGCCTGCAAGGTGTGTGTGTGTGTGTATGTGTGTGTGAGTTTGAGGAGATTAGAGCAAAATTCAAGTTGATCGACTCGAGCGTGCCACTTACTAGAAACTCTGGCTCGGGTATAAGATGCGATTTGTTAAATGGACACACAAGCAGCTCAATCTCATCTTTGTATATCTCCCGACATTTCAGTATATGTTGTTGCAGTTTTTTGCGCAGCATTTTATGTGCCTTGTTATAGGGACAATAAACCATTTCATTTGGATCCGTTTCCATTTTTGAAAATTGGGTCGCAGGTCACAATTTTAAATGAGGTAGGTTATTGCGTACTGGCGTACTTGCCTAGTGTTGGCAAACGTTTAATGGTGACCTAAATGAACGTTCCGTTATGAATCCATCTACGGAAGTTCCTTTTTTTTAAACTATCGTATCACCAAGATGCGATCTTAAATCAAACGCAGCTGTTTATTAATAATCAAGTTGTTGTCACGTACTCTTTAAAATTATTCTATATTTTTTGTTTGAAACGTTTTATGAAGATACGTTACTAGCATAAAAGATTCGGAGCAGCTGCAGAAGTTGGTTCAAATCGTTCAAAAGAGCAATTCTTAGCTGGTTTTTTAATTAGAGATTGCAAATCTATCGATAGATTTTAGTTTTATTAAACTGCAGCACATACACAAATACAATTTTGGGAACGCATTGACGCATTGTGAAATATTAATTTTGTACTTTAGAAATATAGGAGTTAAGAAAACAACAAGATGGGCAAAGGTTTCAACAATTATATGTGCAAGAAATTCTTTCATCCTGCCTCACGGGACAACCTCAAGCGGGTAGGTAGCCTCTAGACAACTATGTTAATTATGGAATTAATCGTTTATTAAATGTATTATATGTTTAGGTATGGATGGCGGAGCAGCAGGCTGAGGCATATAAGAAGAAGCAGGAGGAGCTGCGCACACAGTATGAGAAGGAGCAGAATCTGCACGAGAACAAGGCCATGCTCAGCAAGGACAGCAAAGACAAGCTGAGCGTTAACTTTATGTATGAGCCGCCGCCTGGCGTGCGCAAGGAGCGGGAAAAGGACGACGCCGAGCCGGAATACAAGTTTGAATGGCAGCGCAAATACAATGCGCCTCGCGAATCCTATTGCAAGGGCGACACCGAAATTCGGGATCAGCCCTTTGGCATTCAGGTACGCAACGTGCGGTGCCTCAAGTGCCACAAATGGGGACACATCAACACGGACAAGGAGTGCAGCATGTACAGCATATCGATGAGTGAGGCGCGCAAGCTGCACTCGGAGTCGGAGGCCAACGACATTATGTCCAAGAATGTGCTCGAGGAGCAAATGAAGGAAGATGGCCTGATGATGAAGCGTTCGGCCCTGGAGCTGCAAAGCATCAAGGCTGTGCAGCAGCGCCACCAGCTGGTGCCCAGCGACGAGGAGGACGAGGCGACGCGTGCCGCCAAGCAACAGAATCCCGAGCTGCTGTTTCTCAAATCGCTGAGCAAGAAACAAAAGCTAAAACTGCTCAAGAAACTCGAGAAAATTGAGCGCATGAAGCGCAAGGGTGAAAGAAAATCAATCAAATCTTCAAAAAAGAAGTCCAAAAAGGACAGCAAAAAGCTGAAGAACAAAAAGTCGACCGAGAGCAACAATGATAGCTCATCCTCCTCCTCCTCGTCATCCGACTCGGACTGCGGTCCAGCTGAACAAAACAAGCGCCAAAAAAGCAATCACAGAAGCAGAGAGAGATCGCGTTCCCGCAGCAGAAGCAGGGAGCAACGCGTCCGTTCCCACAGCCGAAATGGTCTTGCAAATGGCTCCAAGGCAGCTGCAGAGGAACGGCACAGAACTGGCAGAAACAATCATCATCATAGCAATGGCCAACGCGACAGAACGCGCAGCCCACACAGAGAGGAGCGCACCAGGCAAAGGCGACAGCGTTCGCGCAGCGGCGACAATCGCCGGGAGCGGGAACGGGAACACAAAAAACGCGATAGACATTAATTTTACAAGCATTTACATTTTTATAATCGCAATTGTAGCAAAACCTACCCATTTTTTATAAAAATAGAATTCCAACTTTTTAAATTTAGCTAGTCTGTCATTTTTATGTATATAAAGCTCAAAACTGAACGGATCGGACAAGTATATTGTGTCTGCCTGCTGCAGATAGAGCGAAAGATGATTCTATAAACAAACAAGACAGACTGATCAAGAATCTATATAGACACAAGCTTGGACATTACCTTTTCATACATTCTCCGCCCGTGGGAAATTTAATATAATGTACATATTCATCCGAAAATGAGATGGATCAGAAGAAATATCCACACTTGCTGACAAATCTATTCTAATTTCAGCAAGTACATCAACAGTTCAACTTATTTTGAATTAATTAGCTTCGCTATAAGACTTTATTTTGCCGCACACAAGAAATTCGCAGAAGGAAAAAATAAAAAGGATCAACTTGTTCGGGTTAACACAGTTGACCGTTCGCGTGTGTATCGAATGTTGCTATATATTGTAGTTGGCTTTAGATGCGAGCCAGTTGTGCGGTTGTGCTGGAGCCCGCAGAGACGCACAGCTCGGCGCCATGATTGCTGCCAGTCTCGCGGGAGACGCTCTTCACATGGATGTGGCTCTTGAGCATGGCAGCGCGCAGTATAAGCATGCGGGTGTGGCGCTGGTATTGCTTGCCCATGAGCAGGGCGCGCTCGAAAGTGCTGTTGCGCTGATCGGCCTCCTTGGCGTAGAGTATCTTGTTGTGCGAGTCGATGCGCGCCTGAATCTGGCCGTCCAGTATGAGCTGCATCACCTCGTTCTCCAGATCGCCCACGGTCGAGTTGAAGGCAGTGGCCATTTTGTGCATATCAGCGGACATATATGGGCTGAAATATTGGATTAGCGCACGGTTGCGTATCTTCGTGTAGAGTATGCTGACGTGTGGGGCTATGTACATGTCCACCAGCAGATTGTCGCGTATCTCGTCGAGCAGCGTAAGGCAGCTGGCGTATTTGCTCTCGTAAAACTTGAAGATAATATCACGCAGCTGCGGCTCCAGCTCGAGGAACAGCTTGAACGAGGTGGAAGCAATTACCAGACGCTTCAGCTCCGGCCGATCAAAGGTGGCCAAGGCGCAGAGGCCGCCGTAGACGGCCACATTGCTGGTGGAGATCATTTCTGGAAAGTCACAATGATCAAAGTTGGCTGCCAAAAAATGCTTGGCCGCCACTTTGTATTTCTTTTGCTGCAGCTCGGCCAAGCCGGCGGCGCACTCCAGGCGCGTGTGCACCTGTGCATTTGCCTCCTTGGAGCCCTCGGAAAAGTCGGGCGTACTCTCCGCCTTTGATATGTAGCTCAAGACATGCGCCCAGTTCTTTAAGTAAATGGAAACCTTGATAACATTCAGGCACATATTGACCACATGCTTGCCACTGGTGCAGTAATCGCGCGCACGCGAATAACACTTCAGAGCATTGGTCAGATCGCCACAGCTCAGGTAATGATCCGCCAGATCGTCGTGGCCGCGCCGGATGCTCTCCTTGATGGAATTCGATTTATAGTTCTTTAGATCCGAGTCGAGTTTCTCCAGTTTGAGAGCCGCCTTCTTCATTTTCGCATCTACCCAGACAGCGTCATAGGCAAAAGCATCCTTCTCGCCGCTAGCGCTGGTGGCATTCGCCTGAGCCGCAGCTGCTGCTGCCGGCTGTGCAGCAATGTCGGGCAGAGCGGCAACTGCAACAGCGGCAGCCGCGCCGGCTGCTTGATCACCGCCTGCAACAACAGCAGCTGCCGCACCCGCAACTCCAGCAGCCGCTTGTAGATCGGCCAAACGCTTGTGCAACATCTGATAGACCTTCACGTTGTAGGTGGACTGCACGTAGGTGATGGCCATTTTGAGTGCCTCCAGGGCCAGAAGTGGGCAAACGTCGGCCACATAAATCAGGCGATCGAGACGCGCGATGCCCGTATATTGATTGGCATATACCTCCAGATCGATTGTCGGATTTTCAACCACAATTTGATGCTCTTCATTGTTTTCATTGTCTTCGTTCGGTGGCGCATCCACTTGCATTGGCTCCACGGCATTCTTAAAATGTGTCACGGCTACGTGAGTACTTTGATGGGTGCATCAAAACTGCAATGTCACTTACCTGCATAAGCGGCGGCATAGGCAGCACGGGCATCTTGCAACGTTTTGTTAGCAAGCGTAATTTGCGAAAATTATTGAATTGCTTTTCTATTCTGTGCCGACTTCAGTTCGATAAGCTATCGTTGGAGATTGTCAAATATTTCGATTACGAACATGCCAACAATATTTGTAAGCGATAGTTTTGTTGTCTGTGCACTGAGTTTCGAAAATTCCCATCTCTATACTTGCAATTCCGGGCGAATGGCACAATTGCAAGAAGCAGCCAGCGCCTCGCAAACGTTTTGTTTATATCATTGAATATTATTATAAATAATAGAGAAAATAACGTAAAACCGTCGAAATATGTCAAATATAACAGCTGCGGTAATTGCCAACCGCAATAAAAAGCATTTCCTAGGAGTGCCGGCGCCGCTTGGCTATGTTGCCGGCGTGGGACGTGGGTAAGTAGTTTCTTATTATACATTAAATTTTCGACGATTGTTAATTTTTTGGTAACACAGCGCCACTGGCTTTACGACACGTTCGGATATTGGTCCGGCGCGCGATGCCAACGATGTTTCCGACGATCGTCACGCGCCGCCAGCCACCAAGCGCAAGAAAAAAGACGAAGAGGAGGAAGAAGATGAGGATTTAAACGACTCCAACTATGACGAGTTTAGCGGCTATAGCGGCTCACTCTTCTCCAAGGACCCCTACGACAAGGACGATGAAGAGGCAGACGCAATTTACGATTCCATAGAGAAGCGCATGGACGAGAAACGCAAAGAATATCGCGACAGACGCTTGCGCGAGGACTTGGAACGCTATCGTCAGGAGCGGCCCAAGATTCAGCAGCAGTTTAGCGATCTGAAGCGTTCGCTGGCCACAGTTACCACCGAAGAGTGGTCCACCATACCCGAAGTGGGCGACAGTCGCAATCGCAAGCAGCGCAATCCGCGAGCCGAAAAGTTTACCCCGCTGCCAGACAGCGTTCTCTCGCGCAATCTGGGCGGTGAGACTGCATCCTCATTGGATGCCAGCTCCGGTTTGGCATCCATGGTGCCTGGCGTGGCCACGCCTGGCATGTTAACGCCCACCGGCGATTTGGACTTACGCAAAATAGGACAGGCGCGAAACACGCTCATGAATGTAAAGCTCTCGCAGGTATCGGACTCTGTGACAGGTCAAACGGTGGTCGATCCTAAGGGCTATCTGACCGATTTGCAGAGCATGATACCCACCTATGGCGGCGACATCAATGACATTAAAAAGGCGCGTCTGCTGCTGAAGAGCGTGCGGGAAACAAATCCCAATCATCCGCCCGCTTGGATAGCCTCGGCGCGCTTGGAAGAGGTCACAGGCAAGGTACAAATGGCGCGCAATCTGATTATGCGTGGCTGCGAAATGAATCCACAATCCGAAGATCTCTGGCTGGAGGCGGCGCGCCTACAACCGCCCGACACAGCCAAAGCTGTCATTGCCCAGGCGGCACGTCACATACCCACATCGGTGCGCATTTGGATCAAGGCTGCTGATTTGGAGACGGAAACCAAGGCCAAGCGACGCGTCTTTCGCAAAGCTCTTGAGCACATACCGAACTCGGTGCGTTTGTGGAAGGCGGCCGTGGAACTGGAGAATCCCGATGATGCTCGGATCCTGCTGTCGCGTGCCGTCGAGTGCTGCAACACCAGTGTGGAGCTGTGGTTGGCCTTGGCACGCCTCGAGACCTACGAGAATGCGCGCAAGGTGCTGAACAAGGCGCGTGAGAATATACCCACAGATCGGCAGATCTGGACAACGGCTGCCAAGCTGGAAGAGGCCAATGGCAACATACACATGGTCGAAAAGATTGTCGATCGTTCGCTGACATCGCTTACGGCGAACGGCGTCGAAATCAATCGGGATCACTGGTTCCAGGAGGCCATCGAGGCGGAGAAGTCGGGTGCTGTCAATTGCTGCCAGGCAATTGTGAAAGCCGTCATCGGGATTGGTGTCGAGGAGGAGGATCGCAAGCAAACCTGGATCGATGATGCCGAATTTGTAACTATTCGTGTGCGATTCCATTTTCATGTTATTCTAAGGTTTTTTTTTATTTTAGTGCGCCAAGGAAAATGCATTTGAATGCGCGCGCGCCGTCTATGCGCACGCCCTGCAGATGTTTCCATCGAAGAAGAGCATTTGGCTGCGTGCTGCATACTTTGAGAAGAATCATGGCACACGAGAGTCCTTGGAGGCGCTGCTGCAACGCGCTGTGGCGCATTGTCCCAAGTCGGAGATACTCTGGCTGATGGGCGCCAAGTCCAAGTGGATGGCGGGCGATGTGCCCGCTGCCCGAGGAATTTTGTCGTTGGCCTTCCAGGCCAATCCCAATTCCGAAGATATTTGGCTGGCAGCCGTCAAGTTGGAGTCGGAGAACTCGGAATACGAGCGTGCGCGACGTTTGTTGGCCAAAGCGCGTGGATCTGCGCCCACGCCGCGTGTTATGATGAAGTCGGCGCGACTCGAATGGGCACTGGAACGCTTCGATGAGGCGTTGCGTTTGCTAGCCGAGGCCGTCGAGGTCTTTCCCGAATTTCCGAAACTCTGGATGATGAAGGGTCAGATTGAGGAGCAGCAAAAACGCACGGACGATGCGGCCGCCACCTACACGCTGGCATTGAAAAAGTGCCCCACTTCGATACCCCTGTGGATTTTGTCCGCCAATCTGGAGGAGCGCAAAGGTGTCTTAACCAAGGCGCGCTCAATACTGGAGCGAGGAAGGCTGCGCAATCCCAAGGTGGCAGTGCTCTGGCTGGAGGCCATCCGCGTAGAGCTGCGTGCCGGGCTTAAGGAGATTGCCAGCACCATGATGGCGCGTGCCCTGCAGGAGTGTCCCAATGCCGGCGAGCTGTGGGCAGAGGCTATCTTCATGGAAACGAAGCCACAGCGCAAGACCAAATCGGTGGATGCACTCAAGAAATGCGAACACGATCCGCACGTACTGTTGGCGGTGTCCAAGCTGTTCTGGTCGGAGCATAAGTTCTCCAAGTGTAGGGATTGGTTTAATCGGACGGTAAGTGCTGATACTTTAATTAATTTCTAAAATAACATAATTTTCTTTACACTTAGGTAAAAATCGATCCGGATTTGGGCGATGCCTGGGCATACTTCTACAAATTTGAGCTGTTGCATGGCACGGAACAGCAGCAGCAGGAGGTGCTCGAGCGTTGCATTGCCGCGGAGCCCACGCACGGCGAATCGTGGTGCAGTGTGAGCAAGTGCATCCGAAACTGGCAATTCAAAACGCCAGACGTGCTGCGTGCTGTGGTCAGGGAGCTGTCTGTTCCAATTTAAGTTACCTTCAACATAACTAAGAATCAATTTAATCTACGAAATAAACGGCTTGCAGCTTAATGCAGCGTGGCTCTGTAATCCCGAACAAATGTGTAGATGCCATGGCTGTGCTTGCGGATGAGCTCGATGAGGAACACGCCAAAGCTGAGCGCGGCGCCGCAGCCAAAGATGCCAAATGCATAGCGGCATTCGGTGAGGCCAATGGAGACAAAGCCGCCGACGCCGCTCTCGCATTTCGGCTTCTGTGGTATCCATTTGCGTTCCTCACGATTCACCAGGCTAATCTCGCGCTGCCAGCGTATTCTGTTCCAGAGAAATACGTTTAATTAGATTGCAACTATCCAGTCTATCCAGCCGGCTACTCACTGCCTGCGGAACAGCTCCTTGTAGGGAAAGTTTTTGCGTGTTGGCACAGCCAACATGGGTAGCTGGAAGGGTTCCAGTTCCATGAGTCCACATTTCTCTGGCTCACTGAAGGTGTCGCTGACAATTTGATAGCCCGCCTGGAGCTCCACCTGGTATGCAAATAGTCCGGTGCGCATTTTCTCCATGCCCAGCACAGGGCGCATATAAACAAAATCTCCCTTTGAGGCAATCTTTTTGTGATACAAGCTCTTTGTCACCGGATCTGTGGACTCGGTAAAATAGATTTTATTATATTGTGTATCCTGCACGCCAATTTCCAGCGGCGATTGCCCCAAATCACCCAGCGACTGTATCGCATCCGACGGGCTCTGTAGCAGAGCCACAATGTTCGCCGAGAAGGAGGTAAACAGGAAAACGGCGGCCACAAATGTGGTAAAGACTATAATCCTCGCCGAACGATTGCGCACGTTCACATAGAAACCCTGCTGGCACATAGCACCAAAGACAAAGTTCACCGAATCCAAATATGACATGTTGTGCGTGTGCGGCGAGAAAAACATTTCCAATAGCAGCACCAGCATGGTTACAATCAGCAACACCAGTATGGATATCCAAACATCCTGCTGAAAGGGCATCGAGAAAATGTTGGCCACTGCCGACAGTGGAGGCTGTCGAAACATGATGCCAGCTCTCACGCGATACGTTTCGGCCACAAAGTCACACAGGGCGATGCGATCCAAGCGCATAAAGATCCCCAGCTGGGCAAAGTCCAGTTCATAGCGCTGAAAGCGACCCATTAGGCCGTCGAAGGAGCCATTTGGTTGACGCCATCCATAGTTGACGGTCTGGTAGGTGTTATAGCTGGCCAGCAAGAGAGATAGAGAGAAGGAGGAAGAGAGGCAGAGAGGCCAAACTTAGAAAGGCGATTGAGTAGCAATTGGTGGTAGACAGGTTGAGTGAAAGTAAAAGGGAAAGCGAGACGGAGAGGAATGGGCAGGGAAAATGTGTGCTTTGAAAATCGCATAGAAAGGCATTTCCCAAAATATAAAATGAAAAAGGGAAAGCGAGACGGAGGATAAATAGTTGCTTATAATACTAAAGCCTTAAAATTACGATTATAAATGTGTACTTTAAATCATTAAAATCGCATAGAACGGTTTTCTTGAAAATGCGTTTCTTTTGGATTTGGCAGATGCGGCAGAAAGATAAAAGGGAAAGTGAGACGGAGAGAGAGGGGCAAATAAGTAGATTCCTATAATACTAAAGCTTAAACATTACGATTATTAATGTGTGCTTTGAAATCATGAAAATGGCATAGAAAGGCATTTTTCAAAAGCTTTGAAAAACATTAAATACGACAGGCCAAACCAAATCAAGAATCGTTCTAAGATATTAAGAAATACCTCATATTCAATCGAACGGCCAGCTCCAGCATGAGGCGATGATTGACTTTGGAAATGGTATCGATATGCCGCAGGGAGAGGTCCTCGATGTCGGTGAACAGATCTGGAAATGCAATAACAATAGCCGTATTGAAGACAATGCCCTCCAGATTCTGTCTGTATGTAATGGCCGAGCCGAAGTGCTGCAGCGCATGGACCATGTGTCGCCGATTACGCAGTCGATGACCCACCAAGCGGCGCTTGAGCGGCTTCCAGGCTGCCACCTTGTACACATCCAGCAGGGTGGCGGTGAACGGATGCGATGGAGTGTGCCACAGCACACGCACCTCGCTGTCGGGTGGCAAAAAGATCTCCGCATCTTCGAGCAGATCGAGCTCCTGCAGATCCTGCGTGAGCAGCAGCCAATAGCGATTCGTGGTAAAGTAATTATGCTCCGTGGCCGCGGACCAGCGCAACAGATTCAGGGCACACGAGCTGTTGAACTGCAGCAGCAAAATGCCCAATTTGTAGTTCAGTGCGGGCAGGACAAATGACAGCTCCCAGTGGGTCTCGTTGTCCGCTCGAAAGCTGCGCGGGGGCGGCGCTTCCGGTGTGTCCGTCTCGTTGCCGACGTGGCGCAGGTCATTCAGACAGTGCTCCGTCCAGAGCTGCACATAAATATTGTGTGTCATGAAATGTTGCAGGAGCGCATGCAAACGTGCCGCATCTGTTTTCGCGAATGGGTCACGCATTTAGTTACGGGCGGGAATATAGTATATCCTCACAGCTCACCAATGTCCCCGCGACACACAACCAGCATCAGGCTGTGCACGCCATGGTGGCGATAGTAAGCGACTAGCATATCCGGCAATTGATTGCCCCACGAATCATCCTTGAGCAGCTGCTCCTGCTTCTGCTGTCTGCGGGGAATTGATGCGTCAGCTGGCGCTGACATTGATGTCGACGCTGTCAGCGGCCAGAGCAGCAGCAAGAGCAGCACAAACAGCTCTGGGAATATTAACGAGTTCATGCTCAGAGTACGTCCTTTGCCAGTCCTTTGCAGAAGGCTTCCGTTAAGCGGCGGCTTTTATACGGACCTGGCGACCTTTTGGCCAGCAAAGTACCGCGGTAAGCACATTAAATATAATTGAGCTTTTATTTTTAAAAAATTATGCATTGATTACGCTTCAGAGACTTCCTCACGTTTGCCTCACTTTTCGCCCTGCTGTCATTACGTATACGAGGCGTTGCCTGCACCGCAATTCGCAGCAATTTCTGCCGACAGCTGCAATTGGTCATCGAAGGCGTTTAATTGGCGCTGAAATTGTTCACCCAAAGTCAATTACATGCCATTAAATATATAAGTTACAAGCAATAAGTTCTAAGTTGACTTTTGATGGCCAGCTTATAAAATCGAAGAATAGAAAGTTTACTTTTACTGTCTGTATGAAACAGATAATCTTGCTTGAAATCAACCGAAAGATGAAGCACTAAAGTAGATTTTTAACATGAAAAACAAATTCTCCTTTGCTCAACCTGCGCCTCCTCCTAAGTCGAAGCTGCCGCCTCCTCCTGATTCGCAGCTGCCGCCTCCTCCTGAGTCGAATATGCCGTCTCCTCCATAGTTGAGCCCGCCGTTTCCTCCATCACTTGATGTGAATATACATACATACATATATACATGTATACATGCATACATACATGCATACATACATGCATGCATGCATACATGCATGCTTACATACATACATACATACATACATACATACATACATACATACATATATACATACATACATACATATATACATACATAAATACATACATACATACATACATACATACATACATACATACATACATACATACATACAAACATACATACATACATACATACATACATACCTACATACATACCTACATACCTACATACATACCTACATACATACCTACATACATACCTACGTACATACCTATTAACCCCTTGGTGCTCCACCGCCAAGCACCTCCGGTTTTATAGCTCCCAGCGTTGAAGTCGCCTGCGCCTAATTCATACGAGAAGCCGTCAAGCCTTACTTACATTTTTTAGAATCGAGTAGGAGGGCAGCTTTAATAAATACGTTTTCTTATTTAAATTTTCCACGCAACAAGAAAAATTGGTCTGCCATTGGTATTTTATCAGACATATATACGCACATACATACAGACACACACGAACACACCTACACACACATACATGCATACATACATACATACATAAACACGTACACTCATTCGGACATTAATTCATTGATTTATACTGCATGCATACATTCATACATACATACAAACATACATATATACAAAATCAATTTGGCATCTAACTCTGCCAACATTATTCTTATTTTAATAAAATACTTAAAAAAGAATTTGCAAAACACTTGTAATGAAAACCTAAAAGCCTTTCTCAAATTAATGAGAATCGCATAGTGGGGCGATATTTATAAATATGTTTTTCCTTTATTTGCAGGTGGGAGCCATCAGACTAGTGAAAAAATTAAATTTTGTTTTAAGTGTAAAATACGCAAAACGTTTCATAAGAGTTTTTCATTATTTTACATATTAGCGGATGGAATCAGATGATGATTTTATCAAAGTCTGGCATCATTTCCGTTTATATATTTTTTCAGATATTTATGACATGCATTAGATAAGCTTGGCTTGTTTTTATTTACCAATAAAAAGAGCAGGCGTGCATTTCCCGGTTTTCTTTAGGTCGTTGCCTTTCAACACCTTTTCTATCAATAACTGACCAGCTTATTGGCCACGGCTTCTATTTATCTTCTTTGGCTTGTCAGTTCGCGTTGCAAGCAAGGAAAATCCTCTAATTGATTTGAAAAATGGCGCAATAAAAACAAATAAAAGCTTTCCAGCTTGTTTTGGCTTCGACATGGATCTGCGCGTGCCACGGGACATTTGCCCCGCCGCTAGACACAAACGTGTGATAATCTGGATCTTTGGTGTTTCCGTCGCTGTTGGTGTTGCTGTTCCTGTTCCTGTTCCTGGTCCTGGTCGTGTTTCTGGCTCCTTTCGCCTGTTGCCCATTCGTATTTCCTGCGCCTCTTATTTCCTCCATTCGGCCGATTGGCGGGCGCGTTCCGGTCTACGGCAAAGGCAAAGGCCAAGGCAGCGGCAACGCTTCAATAACTTTTATCACTTTTAATTGGGTTTTTCTTTATAGCCAACGCATGTCTTAGGCGACTTATGAGCCCAACACATGTGCAGATTGTAATTTTGTTAATTTGTCTCTCTCTCTCTCTGTGTGTGTGTGTGTGTGAGTGTGTGTTTGTCGGGCCGTGTCGAGCTGTTGTTGTGGCTTGTTTTTGTGACAGCAGGCTAATGCCAGTTTTTCCCAGTTGCCGGTCCGAGATTTTCTTGCTTTCAATTTTCCTAATTGCTTCTTAATGTGCGTCATACGCCGCCAACCAGAACTTTGCCCTAATTTGCTTTTTAACTCCTTGTCACAGTTTAATGGCAGTTGCTTTAAAAAGTTTGCAACAATTTTTATTTTCACTTTAAGCAGTATATAGCTTACAGAACTTTCCCAATTAACCAAGCCTACAATTAAAATATAAACTGAACGCACTTAAAGTTTATATTTTATATTAAGTATACGCCGCATGAAATCAATATGGTTTCATTTAGGTTGCATTTTAATATAAAATATGCACAATTTATTTTATTTTTTATCATTTATTATTATTATTCTCAGTATACATCATTGTTTATACGTATATATGCACATATTATTTACATATATATTTCTCATTTCAGCTCATCGCGCAACTAATTTATGCTGCCTTTCGCTGGCATGCAATGCCCAGTTCTCACGCTAGATGGCGCTGGCGTTTCATTAATCATGTCCGCCATTTTTTGACATTTGCCCGTCATGTTCAACTACTTTGATAATATTCACGCTTCTCTAAGTTTCTTAATATTTCATTGGTGACAGGTTTCCATACTCTTGCAAAAGGTCTTGCCGATTTTTTATCAAGTGTGGCTCTCACAGTATTCTGCATCATATTTTCTATTTAAACACTTTATCGTAAACAATTATCGCTTCATATATATTAAATAATGTAAGTATTATACTATAAATTTGTAAATCCTTCAATTGCTCCTTTATAAGTCCTTCAACTTTGATCTTCATAATATAATATTATCAAATAGCAGGGTATCTGCTAGTTGGTCACTCTTGACTAAAGCGCCCTTGTCTTTGCTAACAACGAGTTTCATTTCATTATTTTTGCCTAAGCATCATGTAGATGACTTGAATTAAATATTGTTGATGATCAGTTCTACGCCCAGTCTGTGCTTAAAGTATACAATACTTTTTAATAATTTGTTTTTCTTATACAAACTGGTATCTCGTGTTTTAGCACACGCTTCATTTGCTGCTCGAAGTTTGTCAGTTTATATTGACAGGACGCTTACATCTCCTTTTATGTGGCACTTGAATCCCTTTGTTGTTAAAGGGTGAACTGATTGCCTATTCTATCCCATCCATATCGCCGGTTCTGCGGCTTTAAGCAACCACTACAATTATCGGGCATCTTACACCTGACTGCACAGCTGGTGGCCTGATTTGCATAAGACCGAAAGCCGCAAGCTGTAAGCCTTTGACAATTAGCCAATACATTTTACTGGGTCTCACAGACTCGACCAACCATTCATTCGCTTCTCTGTATCTGTGCATGTGTGTGTGGGTGTGTGTGTGTGTGTCTGTTGCTGCCTTAAGCCAAATTGAAGTGTGCTTCATGTTTATTATGTAACTACAATGCGCTACTTTGTGCTACCTTTTAGCTTTCACGCTCTTGAAATACATTTAATCCATCATTGAGTTCAGACCGCGTCGATATACCCACACACAGACACACACGCACACACACATACACACAGACAGACTGGCAGACAGAGAGTCGTTAGCCTGGAGCTCTCTGTTCTCTCCTCTTTGCTGTCCAAAAGCTTTATTGAGTCCCGCTTTCAATTTGCCCGTTGCCCATTTACAACCTGTTGAAAAGGTGCAAAATGTTGGTGGCTTCTTTGACTCGCGTTTTCCTTCAGCTAAGCAAACACGCTTATGCAGCCTTATCAATCAAAGGCATCTGCCTGTGCTACACACACACACACATACATTTCTATACATTCACAAACATATGTTATTAATATGACCCATTTATTGTTAGCCATGGAAATACTAACGAAGGTATCAGAACTTTGTTAGTATTTTTTTGTAACTGTCCTTTTCAGGAAAATTCGAGAGATCAGAAAAACGGCTTGAAAACATTTTGGTTTCTTAAATATGTTCATCAAACTCAACAAACTTGGTAAACTCATCAGTCCCCCACTATGATATAATACTAATTGATAACCCTTATTCAATTTGTATGTAAATATATACCTACATATAACCCGAAAATGTACACACGTACGGTTATGTTATTGGAATCTATAAAAGGACAAAGGCAGGGAAATGGCGATCTTAAATTTAAACTTGTATGTATGCAAGGCTGTGAATGTATAAATGCATACACATATAGGCTTGTATACGTACATTTGCACTTACATAAATATAATTAAGAAGATTTCCAACACTTGCTGATTAATTACATGCATACATATTTACATACACACACACATGCACTTCATAATGTAACATTTCACTTACTGTGAAAGCAAGACGCTTCGCGGAGCCTACTTGAATTTATGAGAATCGCATAGCAAGTCATCATTCAAAAGACGTTTTATTTAAATTTTACTTCGCAGCGGCAAATAAATTTAGCAGTTGTTAAAGTAAAACATATGTATATGCTTACAAGCAAGCATGCATGCGTACATACACATGCATACACACATGCATACAAACATGCACACACATGCATACATACATTTAAACATTCAAGCACACATGCATATAAATAAAATTAAAGTATATTAGATTGGCAACACAGTTTGTAAATAAACTTTGTTAATTGAATTTGCTGCGCAGCGGGGGAGTTATCAAAAAAGTAAAGTAAACTTGGTCCGCGTTTGGCATACGCGACGTTCACAGCGGGTATTACCCGGCCTTGACTGCGCCAAGCTGCTAGCTTTAATTTTTGAAACAGCGCTGACATGAGTCACCGATAGAAAATTGGAGTAGAAAACAGAGGGGAAAGATTGGAACACCCCACGAGCGGGAAATGGGTGGGATTCCATTTACAATCGTTGACTCAAGTCTTAATTAACATGTTATACAGATGATTGCAGTTGAGACGCAGTTTTTAAGCCTTACATATCAAAGGGTAAGCAATAAAAAAAGGCTAATACAGTTTGGACTGATCCTTGATTACCAATCACTCAGTCAGTCAATCAGTCAGTCAATCAGCAGAGACACTGTTAAGATCAATCGCAAATTAAAATCTATATCCGAAGTTGTTTTATGTTTAGGATCAAAAGAGCTCATCGTCTCTTCGCTGCGGCATGCCTAAGATAACTTAAACATTCTTGAACAATCGGCTTATACATATATGTATATTTCCGCCAAATTAAAATATACTCAACCAACTTGGTAAGCCGGCAAAGTTGTGAACGGAATTTCTGTTGCACTCAAACTATTCAATGTGAACACAAATTGAATGTGTGCTTTTGCATCGTTGAACAGAAATTATATTGTCATGCCGTAAATCGTAGGGAGTTTAATTTTGATGTAGCTGGGGCTAGACTATTATTGTTGTTAGCTTGTTAACTTAACTGTCATTTGTGCAGGTACACCGAAGGTAGTCATGCGAAAATTATAAAAATATAAACCTCAGTCTAGTTAATCGTGTGCATAGCTTAAATAAGCCAAAGCTGGCATTAAATTTAAAGCTAAATTTATTAAAGCTTGAGCATAGCACACTTTATTAACATTTACAAATTTATTGTTTAAATGGAGTGCTTGAATTCGGCAGCATATTTGTGGCTTGCTGGCTTTGCCCACTAATTGACTTATTCAGCAAATGGACTCTAGCATATTAATGAACCTGCACACTGCAAATATTTATTGGCAGCTATGCCAATTATTTAGAATCAACAAGTAATTGAAGCTTATGGGCTTTAAAGTTCAAGGAACAGCAGACCAATCTATATATATTTATATATATATATATATGTGTGTGTGTACATGTAATAGATTACATTAGACGGCCTAACGCCTGCGAAATGTTGTTCTGCGTTCCCGTGGCGCTCATTAATCATTATCTGGCGCCATCTAGCGGGCGCCGGAGGCATACATTTGGCTGAATTGAGCTTAGCTCATTTATCTGCATCAAATCAATTAGCAAAGCACCTTGGCACACCGGACCCTTAGGCAGCACATTCCGTTTCCTTGGTGATCCGAGTGCCTTGTCCTTTTTTTTTTCTCTGCTTTTTTTTTTTTTGCCCATTTTGGTGTCGTTTTTGTGCTTGCTACGTGCCAATTTGGCTCGTTTTGCTCGCTCATTCGTAAATCTAAACAAATCATCAATTTTCACAAATTATACGCGCGCCCCTCAAAGTGGCGCTGGCTCGAGCTCCTGCCATATCCTTGTTATCGTTTGTCCTTGAGCCTAATTGCTTTCGTTTCATTCGCTGCGCTTCCTGTTGTCATCCACACCGTTTGTTCATTTTACATTTCATTAATTAAAGCCAATGGCCGTCGAACTTTGACATATTGAGCTTAGCCCCTCTCCCCCTTAAGTGTTCCGTATTCCCTGCTTCGTCAGCTGAAGATTCTCTCCGACAATTGTTATCTGTGCGGGGCACTCGAGGCAGCACTTAAATAGCCCATCGAATCTTTTTAAATTGATATAGAATTTTATCAATATTCGTGTTGATGATTTGGGAAATATTTTTAATTAATTTGCCAAATGCCATTAGATAATGTTAAGTTATATTCGGTGGTGGTCAAGCCTATTTAAGTTTGGGTCTCATCCCATGTTTTGGTTATACGCAAAATGAAGTGCCTCAGTCTCCTATTGCTAGTCGCTGCTCAAGCGGCCTGGGCTCGCGTGCCCTACCAGCCCCTGCCCGACATTGAGGTGCCGCCCGTTCTCGAGGATGAGATCTACGAGCGTGCCATTTATGTCGAGCCTTTGCCAGAAAGCCGTGCTGCCGGTGAGTATCAATCTTCAAATCGTGTAGACCTCTGGCTAACTCTCTCTCTCGGCTCCCAATAGGCTGCAGTGTGACCATCCGCGGCGGTCTGCCCAAGCCAGAGCCAGTTTACCTGGAAACCAACTCGGAGAACCTGTATCCCTTCAACCATTTGGGCGTCATGGAGGTGGAGAACGGCAAGACCTTGCAGCTGTGGTGCCCCAGCGGCTTTGGCACTCACTCCGACAGCCTGTTGACTGCCACCTGCGTGAGCGGCACCACCTTCAAGGTGGATGGCACGGAATACGAATTCAAGGATCTCTACTGCAACTCATGGCCTGGCTTTAAGGCGGTGAAGTCTGGCGCCACGTGCAATGGTGGCGTGGTCATTCGCGTGGGCTTTGAGATATCCTCGTCGCGTTTCGCCGAGCAAATGCAGGTGTGCTTCAACGAGGAGGAGGAGGTGACCCGCTACACGCGTCACCAGCTGTACCCGGGCAGCAACTACTATGAGACGGGCGTGGACCGCATTACCTTCCAAACGGCGGGCTACTTCAATGGCAAGAACGTGGACAAGCTCTACACTCAGGCCACACAGCTGGAGACCATCAACAAGGATTTGGGCGGCGATGCGGATAAGTATTTCGATTCGGCCTCAAACGTTTACCTGGCACGTGGTCATCTCGGCGCCAAGGCCGACTTCGACTATGCGCCCGAGCAGCGCGCCACCTTCCTGTTCATCAATGCCGCACCCCAATGGCAGGTCTTCAATGCCGGCAACTGGGCACGTGTCGAGGACGGAGTTAGGGCTTGGGTATCAAAGAACCAATTAAATGTCAACTGTTACACAGGCGTCTATGGCGTCACCACGCTGCCCAACAAAGATGGTGTCCAGACTCCACTCTACTTGGCCCGCGATGGCAACAACAATGGCCTGATTCCCGTGCCCAAGCTCTACTTCCGTGTGGTCATCGAGCCCGCAACGCATCGCGGCATCGTTTTCGTCGGCGTCAACAATCCCCATTTAACCGAGGAGGAGATCAAGAAAGACTACGTGATTTGCAACGATGTCAGCGACCAGGTCACCTACATCAACTGGAAGAAGACGGACATCAAGGCTGGCTGGTCCTATGCTTGCGAGGTTGCCGACTTCCTCAAGACCGTCAAGCATTTGCCCGCTCTGACGGCCAAGGGTGGTCTACTAGTCTAGGCTGTTCCAATAAAGACAACTGCTTAATCGAATATACAAAAAAATGGCATCAAAACATATTTGAGAAGGGGCTGTGACATTGAATACAATTCATTCCGACTTATGAATAAGTATGAAGTTTGAAACTAGGCTCCAAGAGGGGCTTAAGCCCGCAATTCCAAGCTGAACTGAAACATAAACCATTTCTGAAAAGACTTAGTCCCAGAGCACAATTAACTTTGGCATCAAGCTTTATATTTAGTTAGTTATCTTGGGTAGATATCAATTTTAGGTAGAGCTTCTATTTCCTTGCCTTCTGATTATGAACATTTATAGAGCTGGGAATATTTGGGGTACTAAGATTGAAATAATTGATTGCAATTGTTAAAAAAAAAAGATCTGGTACGAACCTTGAGCCAAGCCACTGCCAATTGATTTTTGGTTGTGCTGCCCTGAATTTATGCATATTGATCGATAGGTTGGATGATTAAATTGAATAAGACTTCTGCAAAATCGACTTCTTTCCCATTTAGTTTAGAAAATCAGTATTAAAAAAAGTATAATTATTCGCAAAAAAATTCTTTAATTCAATCTAAGCTAATCCTGCGCCAGTTAAACCAACAAACCGCTCACGGAGAACGCGGGCAAATGGGTAACCTTTTTGCGGAACTCGGACACCTCGCAGGCGTATGAGTAGCCCGCCAGAAGGTCTGTGCGCTTCCAGCTGATGTAGTTGATCTTGTCGCTGACATCCTCGCACAGAATATAATCACGCTTGATCTCATCGAGACTCAAGTGCGGATTGTTCACGCCGATAAAGACAATGCCCTTCTTGGAGGTGGGTTCGATGACCACGCGGAAGTAGAGCTTGGGCACGGGTATCAAGCCGTTGCCATTGTGATCGTAGGCCAAATAGAGACTGGTCTGCTTGCCATCCTTGTTGGGCAACGTGGTGACGCCCCAAACGCCAGTCCAGCAGTCCACGTGCTTCTTGTTCTTCGTAACCCACGCCCTAACGCCATCCTCGACTCTAGCCCAGTTGCCCGCATTGAAGGTTTGCCATTGGGGTGCGGCGTTGATGAACAGGAAGGTGGCGCGCTGCTCGGGCGGATAGACAAAGTCGGCCTTGGCACCCATGTGGCCGCGTGCGAGGAACACGTTCTTTGGCGAGTCAAAGTACTTGGCCGAATCCGTGCCCAGGGCCTTGTCAATGGTCTCCTTCTGCACCGCCTGCGTGTACAGCTTGTCCACGTTTTTGCCGGCGAAGTAGCCGCCGGGGGCAAAGTTGATGCGATCCACGCCAGTAGCATAGTAATTGCTGCCCGAGTCCAGGGTGTGGTGGACATAGCGAGTGACCTCCTCGTCCTCATTGAAGCACACCTCGTACTGTGTGGCAAAACGAGAGCCGCTCAGTTCGAAGCCCACCTTAATCAGGGTGGTGCCGCCGTTGCAACTGGAGCCGGACTTCTTGCCCACGAAGGCTGGCCAGGATGTGCACTTGATGGCCGAGATGTCGTGCTCCTTATCGCCAACCTTGAAAGTCGAACCGCCCACACACTTGGCAGTCACAGATTTGCCCGAAAGCGGCGAGTCTAGGCTGCTGGTGCAATGGAACTCAATGGTCTTGTCGTGCTCCACATCCACGTAGCCTTCCGCCGAGAAGGGAAAGAATTCCGTGGTGCCAGGCTTAATAAGCAGCGGTTGTGGATTTTTCATCTCGGTGCTTCGTATCTTAATGGAACAGCCAGCTAAGAGGAATAGACAACTTCCAGTTCATTATCGTCCTGCCTAGGATTTGGGCCTAGCTCTTACCCGCTCTATTCGCCGGCGGGATTGGCTCCAACATCTGCGGCACTTCGATCATATCTGCCTCCCACAGTTGCTCGTTTTGGATGGGCAGGAGACGGGCTCGACTGCTGGCTAGCAGCAGAAGCACGCTGAGAGCAATCAATGCCGGACTCCACATGTTTCTCTACTGTTTGACCTTCTGAAAAACCCAAGCGCTTTTAAATCTAATGCCCCAAACTGATTAGATCTCAAATTTCCCACTATGGTGAGTCCCAATTTTCATTATCACTGCAAGTACTTTCGGGTACTTCAACTCACTCCAAGTCAATTCATATACATATTGGAGTACGCCCGGCGGTTGTGATTATTTTGATTATATCACGTGTTGCGCGTGTCGTGCGAACGCGTTTTGCGTTTTTACCCCTTATCATTTAATTAGTATGGGCTAGCACTCTGACGTCACAAAGTTTACGTTTTAATGCCTCATCACATATATAAAGGGCAGTTGGCTTCGTTAGCATAAAGTACACATAAATATATTATTGATTAGAGAGAGTGGGAGAGATAGAACTTAAGATTGCATACAAGAATATTTCACTATAAAGATACCCTAACGATTTATAGGAATCACATCAGTAATGTCTGCAAATTTCAGAGAGATTGTTAGGAATGCATACTCCATAGAGCTTATGTCAAGAATGATGTGTGAGTTGTAGAGGATATTTACTAGTCGAACATGTTCATGTTCATTTAGTCATGCAAATAATCCGTCACTAAAATAAACCCGCAGCTCGAAACTCATCGTGTGGAAAACCATAAAAAAGTCCCGCACCTTTAGAGATAAACTTAATAAAAACCATGTAAACGATGATCGGCATTCCTCAAGTGCCAGGTCGATAAAAGTCGGGGAGAAAAAAAAAATTATTGTGATAGTGGGGAAGAGCTCACGTGTTCCACACGTTTTGTGTTCTATTTTTGCACAAATATCAAGTGTTTATTCAGTTTTTGGTTTGATTTCGGGTATACATTAACTCACATTCAATGATTAGCTTTTGTTTTTGGCGCAACTGTACTTTTAGCAAGTATTAACTTAAATATATATATATTTATTTATATATGTATATAAACTTATGTACAATAATAATACAATTAGCGATATGAATATTGTTGTTTTTTGTTTTTTTTTTCCCCCTTCTTTTTTTTGATAATAAATATGAACTGGCTGATTTTTTGTTTGTTTATTTACAATTAATATTTTTAACGCACTAAGGCAATTCAAATATTTAATTTTAGCTCTGCCTTATCCCTTCGGACATCTATGTTAGTTTTTAAAGCTTTGTTTCTAGCTAGCCAAAAAAATAAATTAAAGTTTGCCTTGTTTTTGTACATGACTCTGCGATAAGAGCCAAATGTGCGATAATTAAGTATTAAGTATTTTCCTTAACAACTTTTATCTGATTTTTATTTCGCAAATACACTTATATTTATATACTTTTTTGATAGAAAGAAAGTAGCTTAACTTAATTAATGCAATAGATATTTTACCGAATAGCTCTTCACTCCAACAAATAAATTGTGAGTAAATTGCGTGTCTCAGTTATGAGAGTTTGAAAACTTTATTGTTATGGTTCAACATGGAAATAATCTTTAGATAATGGAGTTTTTTTTTAGTAAATCGGTTCCGCTTCACTCTTCCTTAACCCGTTTACATTTTGATATTGTTTCTTTCCGCTTAAGTTGAGAGTTTGCCCTAATACTAAAGTTTGCAATACTTGAGATCCCTGTCTACTTCCTGCTTATTTTTATTTTTTTTAATCTTATGGTTTATTTTTGATAAATTATCTTATAATTTATTTGTAATATCTTATATATCAAGGCTGCAACTCCAATGTAATTCTTTACTTTAAAGCAAACGAACCGAAATCCAGTTTTGTAAAATATAAACTTATTTTGTGATAGACCCAATTATGTGATTTATCTGAAAATATATTTGGTAGCTGACAATTTTGGGAAAATATATAATTTAGCCCGCATCTTGTTTATGAAAATATTTATAGCTTGCAATATTTTCAGCACGACGGGCAATTGGAAATAACAAATTTAATTGTTCTAGGTTCGAAAATGTTTGACAAACCAAAACCCCCTTTCAACCACTTTTCACAGTCGCAGGATGCTGGTTCAAATCGTGAATCAAACTAATCCTATTATGGCTTTGCAGCCTTTTATAGCTATAGTTTTAGCTTAGATTGGACTTGATCTTGGACTATGTGGAGAATAACTTATTTGCAATGGAAATTAGCTGCACTTTAATTCTCTTTTCTTGCATCTTTGTTTTTCCTCGTTCGCTGTCTTTATTTAATAAAGATCAAGTCTGCTGTTAATTTGCATATTTATATGTACAAATCATATCTTCTCAAATGTTTGCTTCTTTTATTATGTTTTTACTTTTTAAATGTTTTTTCTTATTTATATATATTTGAAGTTGGATACCTATTACATTTATTTGTCACGTTCTGATCGCTCTGCCTTCTTTGCTGGGAGGACCTCAAGCGATTGGATCTACCTATAGAAATATGGCCAGCTGTGCGTATATCTCCACGGCCACCAATATACCCATTATGGACACATTTACAGCGCAGTAGACGCGTCGCAGTGAACGTCGGCGTTTACGCTGACGCTGACCACAACCTTTGCCAGAGAGCCGCGCTCCAGGCTGCAGATGCTCGCGACTGTCGTCGTCCTCGCTGCTGCTGCTGCTGCTGGTATCACTTCCGCTTCCGCTCCCGCTCCCGCTGCTGTCGTCAGCTGGTGGCATTGCCTGGCTCCGGCTCCCATTTGCTGCAGTTCCATTGTGGCATGGCGGCCAATGTCAAACCGACGCCAGCGACGAGCTGCTGTCATAGGCCACCAGCAGGGAGTCGTTCTCGTCGCTGCCGCTGCCCGCGCTGCGCTCCGATTCGTTGATGACCTCGAGCTGTGTCTGCGGCCGGCTGATCTTGTATTTGTTGTGCCGCTTATTGATCAGCACGCTGCGTATGTTGTTGTTGTTGCGCCTCTGGCGCTGACCCTTCACACGGACCGCTGCCGTTCGGGTGCGCGACTTGGATGCACTCGCGCCAAGCATGCTGCAGTCCGCATCCTCCTGCTGTTCCAGCTCAAGCTCCAGCTGCTGTTCATCCTCGTCCTCATAGTAGTCATAGTAGTCGTCATAATCGTAGCCCACCGCATCATCCTCCGCATCCTCCTCCTCATCGTCGTCATCGTAGTCAAAGTCAAAGTCGAAGATGGCGCAGCAGCCGCTCTCCGCCTCGACGCTGTAGCGGCGCTGACGCTGGCGCTGCTTGGCGCGCTTACCCTCCAAATGGACCACCGAGGATTTGCTGTGGGTGCTCACGCTCTTGTACATAGGCGCGAAGATCGCCGTCTTGGCCTGGTTTCGATTGGAAAGAGCACGATAAATGGGCGATAAATACTTAAATCATAATTTATGTCAAGGAATAAAGAAGACACCTCCGATAAAGACCATAAAATGCACAAGTTCCTGATCAGCATCAAGTAACAATCCGTTTCCTGTCCTGTTTCCTAATCGCACAGAAACCCTGCATTGATGCGTCCTGCTGTTGCGGTAGCTCATATGTCGAAATCCGCTGGATCGGACCACTATATTATAAATTATCTATATCTATAGAGGTATATTACAGATAGAATCGGTCGAAAACTAAGTATACTAAGTATACTTTTCCCCTTAATAATATATTTTGAGCCAGTATGAGCCTTATTCTCCTTACATAAATGTCAAAGTCAGGGTATCGAATCTCATTTAATCGATTTATACTTATTCGGTTATTTCCATTTCCCACTTATTGGTGATGCCCGATCACATGTTGAGGATTTTATAATTTTGTCATGGATACCGATATCATAATGTTTACATAATCCAGATCAGGAACAAGTCGTCATGTTTCCTAGTCGCGCATAAGTCGAATTGGCTGGATCGAACTACTATATCATAAATCATCTATATACCTCTATAAAATAAACATATCGAGAACTGGCGCTTTGCATATTTTTCTCTTTATCAAGATAGCTTGAGCCATATTCAGCACTATTCTCCTCACATAAACTTAAGCTTTATTCCACGGTATTGATTCTTCGGCTTGCCGAATTCGCTTTAATACTTTACTCTATGAAAAGCCACAAACCACACAACGTTAAACGATTTTTGTTTTTTTTTGCGCTATTCTGTTTCATTTTTCATTTATTGAGAAAAATGAATTATATCGCACTTACCTCCGGTCCGCGCCAGGTGATGCCCGAACGCACCAGATTATAGAAACGCAATACGCCCCACATGGCAAGCACCTGTTTGATTTAGATGGGAGGGAGAGAGAGAGAGAGAGAGAGAGGGGGAGAGAGAAAAAGGTTTTAATTGAGTCTCATAAATTCCACTTAGCACTCACACATACACACACACTCAGACTATAAATGACCAGAAAAACATTTTTATGCTTATACTCTGTTGCCAAAGACAGAAAGAAAAGGTATATTGGTTTTGAAGTCCCAAATTGTCTACCCTTATAAACTATTTTATCGTCTTCAGGCATGTTGCAGTTAGAGTATAGCATAGTCGTTGATTTACAAGCTAATGGAGCTAAAATCAAATAATTTTTAGCATTTGTTGTATATTCACCTAAACGCACAAATAAATCAATAAATTCATGCCGATTATTCTGAAATGGAGATCATTTTGTACTGTTTGTTCTCTTGAATGGAAGAATTATTCAAGTTTTATTATAGGAAGCCAAGTAATTTATGTAAATAGTTGAATTGAAAGAAAGATTTTGTAATCAAATTGTATAATGTAAAAAAAAAAAAATAAATAAGTAATAGAATTTAAAAATTGTGTTATTAGATTTAACGTGTTCAGCGATATTTTAAATTGTCGTTTGTAATGTTCCAGCTGATACCATACGATAAACAAATTAAATTGATGGCCCGCAGTTACAAACTTAAGATGGACGCATCTAGACAATCTATGGAAATGTTGAATTTACCCAACAATTATTTTTTCATAATGCATCGGATTCTAATATTAATGTGTTTACACGGCGTGGTATGACTTAAGATCCCAAGATCCCATCTATCTACCTATCTATATACGTATCAATCAATCTATCTATCCATCTATCTATCTAACCATCTATTTATCTATCGATCTATCTATCTTTCTATCTATCCATCTAACTGTCTATCTATCTTTCTATCTATCTATCTATCCATCTATCCATCTATCCATCTATCCATCCATCTATCTATCTATCTATCTATCTATCTATCTATCTATCTATCTATCTATCTATCTATATATCTATCTTTCTATCTTTCTATATTTCTATCTATCTATCTAACTGTCTATCTATCTTTCTATATATCTATCTATCTACCTATCTATATTACTTTGAACCCCCGAACAGCTGGAGAGTCTGTATATCTTTACGTGCCACTATTGCACCCCGGCTATCAAGCTGCCGACTTTGTGGCACAATCATCGATTTCTGATACTTCCTCCGGAGCTAACTCGACAATTGCGTTGTGGGTTTGGATTCTTACACATAAATGTCTGGTTAGGTTTGACCTATGCTGCCATTGCCGTAAGATTTTGTTTATTTTCGCTGCTTTTGTGTTTAGTTTGGAATAATTTGCCCCTTTGAACAGTTCGCGCCCGCACTTATGATACCCTGGCTGATATATTATTACGGCTTCTTAGGCTTACACCTGTTGAAGTTCTCCATCAAAGTGATTGGCAAAAGCATGCAGGGCGAGGGCATTCAAACGTCTATTAAACTGATGGGCTTGTCGCTGAAAATTGCCTTTGTCATTCTATGCAAAAGAAACTATGAAGCAATACTCAAGACGATGGCAATATAGAAGTCTTATTAGAATTTTTAAATGCGCGGGCTATTCACAGTAATTTAAAAAAAAAAGTATAAAATAAACAAGTGGAGTTAGAAGCAGGGACCTGGTCAAATTTTTGACTGACTGTCTAATTGACGTAATTCAATATTTCTGTTATTCCATTCAATTCAAATGTTCAATTCATTGTCAAAGTACGCAATTTCAAACATTCAAATCATACTCGTAGAAAATAAAACTAATTTTCAGAGTTCCGCATAATTTATTGATGCTCGACTTTGGTAAATCTATGTACAAGATTTTCGTCATGATTGAGCTCTTTAGATTTGGTTAAAGCTCAGTTAAATGATTGTTTCACACATCTATTCATTTAATTAAATTTATAATTTTTAAGATTGGTCACACACACACACAAACACACACACACATTCACCGAAAATTTGAATTATTACTCACATTGATAAAAGCGCGCGCGATAAAAAATGCCACCTCTGCTTTGCACATGGCATCGAATTGCTGTAAAATGAATACAAATTTATTAAATATAATTAATCAAAAATTAATGCTGTTTAAAATACTAAAGAAGTTGAACTATCTGCAGCTCTAGTTACTCAGATGGTTTTTAAACTAGCAAGAAACCAGTTAAGATTATAAGCACTCAGCTGTTTGCCTAAGAGATATCCTGTAACCAAAAGCTGCTCAATCCTTTAATAAATTTGGAATTTATTTATTTGTTAAATGGCTGCAATGGAAATCCTGACAAATTCGGCTTTAAATTCTTTAATATTGACGGTGTTCATAATATAAACACGTTTTCCCATAGCCTATTACACAATTTTCCGTTCGTTTTTTTTTGGGCTGCAGGGCATTAAAAAAAAGGGGCACAAAACTTTAACGGCGCAAATATTTTTTTCAGCGCTGGCAAAGAGAGCGTAAGAAAAACATGAGTTTTACCTCCACAATTGCAATAAATTATGCATGAGGCGGCAATTTTGTAACGCTTTGGTGGAAAACAAGTAACAATTGCAACAAAAAAGCGGGCGCGTCGGGGCACGTTCGTAATAGAAGCAGCCGCAAAAACAAATGTCGAAGACAAATAAAAATGGCGGCGGGGACAAAGCGGAGAGCGGCAAAAGTTGGCGTGCAAAAATGCCCAACACACAGTGTCTATTTGCCTGTGTGTGTGTGAGCGAGCGCGAGATAGGGAGAGAGAGTGTGAATGCATGTGTGTAATAAGCCTATGGCATGCCATGGCGCCCGCTTTGGGTAAGTAAAGGAGTAAGCGAGAGGCTGAGAGGGAGAGATAGAGAGCGAGAGAGAGAGAGGAGTAGGATGTGTGGGAGTAAGTGAATGAACCCTGTTGTCAGCTCTGAGCTTTGCGGCTTCGCTTTGCTACTACTTTTAAGTGTGCGTTTAAGCTTTTATTTTTTTGTTGCACTCGACTCTGCGCTTCACTTGGTTAATCAGGCACTTCAGTTGTTAGTATCTAGGCTGTGACTAACACAACATTCAAAGGAAAAGCGTTCGCCCTAACAAACTTAAATTTTAAGCTACAATCTGCAAAGCGAAAGGGTTTCGCTTTGCAAACTAATGTGAAAGTTCTTAGCTGAAGATTTAAGCTGTCTTTCTGTTATGATTTTTTTTTTTTTATGCTATGATAGTTATTTACAATTTAATTCAATAAATATTTTTTCATACATAAAAATAGTTTTTTCAAAAAGAAAAAACCAGCAAAACTTCCTTCGGAAACCGGGCAAAGGGCCAAATATCATTGGGAACATGCAAACATGTCACAGCAAGCAATACAAAGAAAGCATATGTTTTGTGTTTGGATATCAATTTCATTGTCTCTGGTTTGTAGTGCATTTAACTGTCGTTTGCATCCGACCATAACCTAAATTCTTTGTTTGATTTTAGCATAAAAAAGCAACTTTTACATATGTAACGGATTTTGCCCTGGTCTTTTGCTATTGTCGTTGATTCCATTGTTGTTGTTGTTGTTGTTGTTATTGTGGCCGTTGTTGTTGTTCTCGTTATTGTTATTTTCTAGCATTGAGTCCGTGCAATTTATTTGTTTGTTTTGCCAGATCTTTGTGCTTCGGCTCGAATTGATTTATGCCAACGCGGCATTCAAGAACTCTCATTGATATCATTCACAAGCAGCTCCCGCTGGGCCGTGGCTTTTGTTGGACTGCTGGCTGAGCATAAGGCTGATTGCGGGGGGTTTTCATTAAATAAATGGACCACCAGCTAGGCAGCTTAGATATGCATTAAAAGCGTTTGTCTGGCGCGCCCAATTCCCACACCTGTCGGATTGCGGGTCGCCCCACAGGAATCGACTTACCTTATTCACATGATCACGCAATACATTCGAATAAACCATGGCGACAGCTTCTAAGGCCATAAACGTAATATAGCCAATTATCCAGGGTACAATTAGGCCGGGGTTTTCCTGTGGGCAACACAATAGAACGGGTACACAAATATTATATCCCTCTGTGAGCATAGTCTGTAAAGGTTGTGATGGGCAGGCAACCAAAGTCATTTGCACACCTTTAGCTGGCATCAAATTGAACGCATTGATTTTCTGCCCGTCCACACTCCCCTTATGGGGCTGTTTGTGTGTGTGATTGATTGTAAGTGTGTGTATGTGCGTGTGTGGGTGTGCTGTCATATATCTCACTAGGGTGCAAAACCTGTGATTGCATTTTTTGGCACTTTTTCGCGTGTAGCATTTTGAGGTTTATTTATTAAATTTATTCCCTGTTCACGGCCTTCGCTGTTGCTGACAATTTTAGCCGCGCATTTTGCATATACGATTTTTATACCAACAATATTCACATTTTAAATAGCGCAGATTTAACGGTCTGCATTATGTGGGTACAATATTTTTTGTAGATTTAATCTTTATTAAAGTAAAGTTAAAGTTACTACTTATAGTTTTCAAGCATATAAAATTCATAGTTATTATCCTTCTAATTTAAATTCTTTAACAAAATCTCCCAGTCATTTAAATTCCATGTAAGCAAAGCTTTCAAATACATAAATCACTTAGCTGCCGAATGTCTGCAAGAGTATATCACATTCGGCAACCTGCAACAGTTCTTTCTCATTTTAATTGAGTTTCTGCCAAGCTGCTCTCAATCCTCACACACACACACACACACACACACAGTGCTAAAAATGTGTGCACTTTCATGGAATTGTTTTCCATACAAATTGTTGTCAAAATAAGCAGCCAGCTTTAATTAATGCCAATGGTCTATGCATTATTTAAACGCAACGGGTACAGGCTACCATCCAGCCAGGTTGCTGGCGCCTAAGAGCAAATTGCAATTAATTTGGCCAACATACAGAGCTCAGTTTTCCCACACACACACACACAAATATACACACACTCGTGTGCTGTGCACACAATTCGTTGGCGTCCGTCTCGTATTTGTTGTTACTCTGGTTGAGTTTTTTTTTTGTTTTAGTTGTTAGGTTGAAATTAAAAAATTCCACACAATGCGCCACGCAATGCTCCCTTCAACTGGATATATAATCTTTGTCATGTGTCGCCGCCGCCAGTCGTCAGCCAACCGACAGATGGTTTTGTGTACCCAATTGTGTGACAAATTGTCTACATTTTCAACCATCGTGGCATTCTATTTTCCTTTTTTGGTTTTTTTTTTTTTATTTTTGGCAACCATTTTAAATATGTTGGGCGGGTTCGTTCGACTTTATTTACATCTCTCGTTTTTTTGTTTTTCATACGATGACTCCATCATAAATTCTTCTCTCACAGGAAGTTCAAGCCATTGTCAGTTTTTACTCGAATAAGTTCTTCAATATGTTTAGATCTCTTATTCTATAAAGCTTAAAGTTGCGTTTGAATATGTCTATTTCAGAAGCTTCAGCTTCAGACACCAAAATAAATATATCTAACTTTCGTTCGATTCATGGTTAAGCTATGGAAGCTAGAACTTAGCTTCAAATATTTTGCCTTTTCTATTGGTTTTACTTTGTTGTAATAAATATTCAATCGTAATCCGATTTATGTCAGAAGCGAATTATCGAATGCTCTAAACATACGTGCAAATAATTTAGTTGAATTTCGATAAGCTTTAACATTTAACATTCAAAAAAAGCTCATCTAATTATTTAAATAAATTGTCAATATGTATATCAGAAAATTGATTTATTGAAGTAAATATTTCACCTTCACACACTGAAATCTATAATAAAAGGACATTTGAAATTCAAAATGTCGCTAATGTGCTTTTATTTTGGTACTTTTATTCATTCATTCATCATTCGACGCACTTCGATAGACACTGGGGGGCGTGGCACATACGCCTACGGGCGCACAAGTTGGTAATTTACATTTGAATGCGCCTTATTTGTTTATGGCCTGCAAACAGCTCGGTCACAGGCACAAAATGTGCATAATTTGCATATATTCGGTTTGAAGTTATTTGATTTACCAGTCCGTGTGCGTGTATGTGTGTGTGTGCGTGTGTGTGTGTGTGTGAGTGTGTGTGAGTGTGTTTGGCTTGTTTGACAAGCCATTGTTGAGTTTTGTAAAATGGGGAAAAGCTTTTTAGCAAACAACGAAACTTACCCGACAGATGCCAAATATCAACACAATGCTTAACAATATCATCGACATTTGTGTGCCAATTATGGCAAAATATGCAATTTGCACACCTGCAAGATAAGAAGACAAAAATAAAACTAATGCCACAAATGCTCTTAAGATACAAACAACTAAGGTAGAGGTAACTATCTATATGTGAGACTAATATATATAACTAAAAATAAAATATAAAATGTATAGATAAACATATTTTCAATTTTTATATTTATTATTATGGTCTAATTTATTATGCCTTGGGAGACACTCCACATTTTGCATATTTATCACAGTGTAACATTTATTATGCTCAGCTTGAGGCCAGCCGGGGCACATTCTCAAGTATTTGCATATGTACAAGTGCTTAATGGCTTTAATGAATAACGCATGTGCTTACCGTAGTAGACATCCTGTAGCTCGGCAGATTTGTGCATGTTAACATTTATGCGCCACGAATAGATCAGGACGATTAGGAGCGATATATTCTAAAATGACAGAGAAATGGGAACAAAGTGAAAGGAACATTATTAGCACACATATTACGCATACGCAATGCGGGCCGGCAATCGAAAAGGTGCCAAACGGGAAACCCTTTTTTGTTTGTACATAAAACATGTCTTTGCTCTTAAAATGGCTGCGTGACAAACGAAGAGGAAAAGGCCATAAATTTATGTGCTGCAATTTTACAGCGCAATTAATATTTAAATACAAAGTTTTACACTTTGTGGAGACATTCATTACGTTCCGTGACTATCCTTACAATTCAACCCGATGGAGTACACCAAAGCGTGCCACTAATTGCACGTGGCAGCAAAAGAGAAGAAGGAGAAAACCAGGTACTTAAAATGCAACAGCAAATTTGACTCGCAGGTTCCATGCACATAATTCGTATAAGCAAATTGCAGTTGTTATTGTTGCCATTGCCTTTGGTTCTTTGGTTCTTTGGCTCGGCTGTTGCATTTGGTAGTACATAGAAAAATCCCATGCACGATTCGGCCATTAACATAAATTAAATGGCATAATGAGCGTCATGTAATTGTAATTTATAAGGCACAAGATGAAGAAAAAGCGAGTGCACAACGTGGCGGAAAGCTGGCATCTATTTGGCCATAGTTCTCATAAGGCGGGTGTATATAGATCTCAGGTAGAGTCCGGGCGGTAAATGAAGAAATATTGATAACAACAGTTCAACTTATTTTGCTTGTATTACAACCGCCTTTAATAAAACTATGCACAGATTCGCACTGATAATGTAGGCAGCATATAAATCGTAGTCGTAGGCTGTATCGGACTACTGTATGCTATATCTGCCATATAACATATCTTTTGACGTGCTTCTATTTTTCAGTTTACTTGGGAACCATAAGAAAAATTCTCCACAAATAATAATTAAAAATGTTATATAGTTCATATAAAATGAAAAAATGAAATGAACTGCTAAAGTTGACTTTTAATTTATAATATATTTGATACATTGCCGTAGGCATTAATACTCTTGTCAGTTGCCTGTCAATTTAATGAGGTTTTCCCATTTGCATTAAAGATAAAAAGAATTATCATAAAAGTTGTTCAGCACTTGTATTAATTACGTGGAAGAGTTGCGAAACTTTGCCACTGGGACAGTTTACGAACAGTTGAGAATGACATTGCGCATACGCCCGGCGGGACGTGGAGGCAATGTGATGTTAACAGAGTTTTAATAATAACAAGAACAGTTGTTGCACTTACAATTGTGTAAATGGCGCTTGTTATGGCCAAATTTTTAGCATGCAATATGCGACAGCAGCGAGCGCCCCCAGTTAGCGGTCCATATGGATAAAGGATGACGGACTTCATTTTTTCACTAGGCGCGGTGGCAGCGGCAACGGAAATGCAAGTTTTGTGTTTTGTTTTCATTACGTTGACATCGTAACACGTTGGCGATGCCTCCTGCTACCGCAGCTCCTGCTGCTGCTGCTGCTATTGTGGCCAGTTGTTGTTGTTGTTGTTGCTGTTGTTGGTTGCGCAACCGCCCATTAGAGTTGCATCCCTGACTGACTCTGTTCTCTGTTGTTGCCTGTTGCCCGTTGGTGCTGGCCTGCAAAAATACAAGATAAAAATCGAATTTTAAATATTGCGTTAAATCGTTGCCATTAAGTGTGTGCATTCGTGTACGTGAGCGTGTCTGTGTGCGTGCGTGTGTGTGTGTGTGTGTGCTTGTATCTACGACAAACACTTTCGGATTTTTGCTGTTTGCATTCGCTCCAATACAATCAATATACTCAAAACAAATTCTCTTTATGATTGCCTCGATTTGTTCGCGTCGCACACATTTTGCCGCCTCGTTCAGACAAATATGTAATGACTATTCGAATGCATTGAGTGTTTGTGTTGGTTCGCATATACCTGACATACTTTTATATTTCACGCAGTGTTTTCCGGTTTACAATCAAAATTCAATACTTTTTTAATTTAAGCTCTTAGCTGACATTCCACGCAATCATTTGGCCACGTAATCCGCTTAGAAACAACTCAAAAAAGTCATCTCCGTGCTCAGATATAGGCTCGCATTCTGATCAGCTTATGCCACGCCTACGCTCATGCATATGGAGCACAGTCATGGCAATGTCGCTACGAGAAGAGGAAATCATCAACAAAAAAATAAGACGAACACTGAGCGTGTTCTAGCCAGAGGTGATCGACTAGGACATACCCTGAAATGAGCGTAAGCTCGCGTTTCGTTCGAGCTTCCTTCTATACACACAAAAACACACACACACATACTCATAGTGTACGCTTCTTCTTACCTTTGTCTCAGGCCTTGGAATGTTGATCCGATCCTTAGGCAATTTTCTGAGCTTAAATATGGAACCTAAATATGTGTATATACCTACACCCAATTCTCTAGCTTAATAAAATAGGCTCTGAGGTCGTTAAAGTATATAAAAATATGTATTTCGAATTTCAGGTCGTTAGCTATTGTATATTCAGACAGGCAGGTATCATTAGATCGACTCGGCTCGTCATTTTGTGAATATATATTTTTTTGCTCGCAGATGTAGGTTTTTTTCGCCTGTTACATACATTTGCGCAAAGCTATTATACTCTTTTTTGTCCGTTTTCGTCGTGTGAAGGGTATAAAAACGTAAAATTGGTGCAGGCCATGTGAGAGGCGCTTATTGAATCGAATTTGTTGACTGGCAATTCGTGAAGCTCTTTGATGGCAGCTGCTCCACGTTGCCACATGTCAACGCTGCGATTGCAATTTGTATCGGCTGCCGGCGCCTTTAGTTATGCAACGTTTTTGTGCCTAGTCACGGTGGACGGCTTGTCAGTGCCTGCGCCTGTGCCTGTGCCTTTGCGCCCCAAAATCAATCATACGCCAGCGTGGCCGCCAAAGTCGAAATCGACACAAAGCACATATACAATAAAAGCACAAACAAAAAAAATGCTGCATGAAACCGAAAACAAAGCGGGTAAAGTGTGTAATGCGATATTTTTTATTGATTTTCATGTTGAGCTCTCGTAGGACTTGTGTGTCAGATTGTGGGCGTGTGCATATTTGAGTGCGAGTGGGTGTTGAATGGCACATTGTATTTTAGTCAGATGATTTTGCTTGATATGAAAGCACTTGATGTTTGCAATATGCATTTGCCACTTGACTCCGAGGGAATCCACGTAAGAGCTGCACACAAACCTTTGACACAAATGTTGAAAAAAAGCAAGCCAGAAGAGAAATTAATCTTTTCGCTCTGTACAAAAAGAATATCAGTAGTATTTAGCTAGAGTGCCATTAAAATTGAAGAATATTGAAGGATATATGTTTAAACAAGTTCAATAGGGAGAGGAAAGATGAGCATGAAGAGTGCCAGAAGATTTTCCAAGAAAGAACAGAAATTTTCTAGCATGCTCGAAGAATACTGAAAGAATGTGAATGGTACTCAAATGATACTCAAAGGGAGCCTGATGGTTGCTGGAGGAATTCCAGAATGGATTAACATAAGGAATTAGGCTGAGTAGAAAAAAGAATGCCTCAAGAATGTCAGAATATTGTCCAAGGAAAGATAAAAGGTAGATTATTGCACAAAGAAGTGCCCAACTATTTAGAAGTGCTTTCAGCTTTTAAATAGTATTTATAGAATTGATAAACTTTGCTACTTGAACTTAATTTAAAGGCAGTTCTAGTTCATCTTCATCTAGTTTCAGTGGAAAGTTCTGTTTCGGCGAGTCAACACATAGGCACTTAACATTTGCTTTCATCTGATAATTTTCCGATGACAGCTTTCAACATTTTCTTATTTGTCTAACGCGTTGTGCTGTGCGCTCTGCGCCCTTTTTTCGCTTTTGTTTGTTCTGGTTTCGCATTTGTTGTTGATATTTTTATGACACTGTAAACATTTTATATTGTGAATGGGTATTCATGGTGGCCTACAGTTGGCTTGTTGGCCGCTAGGTCCTTTCACTCTGACCAGCAGAGCGTGCCAGTAATAGCAAAAGAGTCCTTCACAGTACTGACTATATATATATATATGTGTGTGTGTGTGTGTTTGTGCCTTGTCAGATGCGGGCCAACTTGTGTTTCCTGCACGAGCTATCTATTGAAATGGGCTCTGCTTGCTTGCCCCCTTTCCTCTCCATGGCCATCAATCAGGCGGCACAAGTTTTTGCATTAGACATAATTAGTTAAGCGCCAACTAATTGAAAGCTTCTTGTAGATTTGTCTGGTCTTGATTAAGTGCCACAGACTTAGACAGTGGTCCATCAAGCGATACGTGTCAAAAACTGACAATTTCGTGGCCATCATTAATTACGCATTACGCATATGCCCGAGTGGCAGTCAGTCAGTTGGCCTGGCCATCGTTTCCACAAATCACATGAAATGTGAAAAGCCCGTCGATTGCAATTTTCTGCGCAGTAACAACTGCCACCTAAGTGCCATTGTGTGGCAGCGAGCGAAAAAATATCATTAAAATCCATGGGCAGATTGCTGTTAAATGGAAAACCTTGAATTTAAACAGCTTAAGGCAAAAGCATACCAGCACAGCAACACATTATGTGAAAGCACGCAGCTGTCTTAATCAGTAATTTAATTGGAACTCGGTATTTCTTTAAAGATGTAGCTAAATAAAAGAAAACCTTTCTGGTGTGGCGCACATTTCTTAGCATAAAAAATGTAGTTACTTTTTCATCAATTTAATTCAGTTTTCATATTTTTTAAATTTAATCTAATGGAATTTCCGGCGAATTTCATAAAAATCTCTAGAGATTTTGACTTTAGCTGGTTTTTATTTTGACCCAAATTAAACAACCTTTTTTTTGCTTCAATCTTCTTGCCGATTACACCCTGTACCGCTCAAAAATAGATGAGAAAGGGTATATTAAACAAAAGAAATTTGAGTTAAGAATTTCTTCGGTACACCGATGACTTAATACACTTGTAAACATTTCCATTTCGCTGATATGTGAGATAAGTGCGGCTCAAAAATACTGAGTTTGGAACAGAATAGATTTCCATAAAAAATTCTACTTTTGGACCACATATCGAAGATATATTAAAACATATAAATGCCGAATTTGGGTAAGATATAGTATTAAACCAAAAAGGTTTTTCTGCAAGTACTTAATATTCGACCGATCTTTCCTATCGCAGCTACATGATATAGTGGTCCGATGAGGCTCGTTCCCACCTGCAGAAAGACGGAACTATGCACAGTTTCACGATAATAGCTTCAAAACTAAGAAACTAGTTCGCATGGAAACAGACAGACGGACAGATGGGCAGACGGACATGGCCATATCAACGTGGCTGCTGATGCTGATCTAGATATATATACTTTATGGGGTCAAAGATGTCCCCTTCTATGCGTTACACATTACATGACAAATTATAATAGCCTCTCCCAGCATAGAATACAATTTTGTACAGCAAAAAATAATTATTGTTGGCGCACGCTAATTCCTATTTATATATTTCATTCCAATTGAGTTTTGGGTGCAGGGTATCACCTCGAGCTTTATGGCTTAAGGTTTGTTGAGTTTATGTTTTTTGCAAATGAAATTCATCAACAATAACAAAATAAAGGCTCCTTCAAGGTCCTTGCATATTGCGTGCTTGTAAAGCAGTACTCTTTAATTTAATTTATTTTCTTTATTTTTCTTTCTCTTTTCGCGAATTTTTTTGGAATAGCACTGAAGCTGCCGACAGCTAGTTGATTATTAGTCAGAATCAGGGGCAGTCTGTTGGGCGAAAGTGAGGTCCATCGTGTGTTGGGGCAATCGTCAAAGCTGTGTGGCAAATTGCCATTCGAGGGCCAAAGGGCAAATATGAATGAGAAAGATGGCCACAAAGCAAATGTGCAAAATCTCATTTACAGTTGAGCTTAAAAATGGCAAACAAACCGAAAGCCCGCAGCTCGAAAGCCCGACTAGCCGCAGATAGTTGGATAAATATTGGCTAGCTGCCAGCCCGGACACATCAGCTACAACTACACGGCATGTCGAACGATTCCATTTTTTTTTTTGCTAGACTTTTGCCGGCTTGCGAAAAACTTGACTTGATGTTATTAACTTTTTCACTTGGAGCGCACAATTTGATGAGCTCCGTTATGAATGTATGAAATAATTTTTTTTTTAAATATAAATGAGTACGCTCGGACTGGGCTTAGCTTCTGCCAAAAAAAAAATTGAATTAAAGGCAGCTCAATTCCAGGCATATAAACTCATGATGTAGTTGGAGATGCTTTTTGAGCAGTGGCTTAAGAAATATTGACAGCTGCTTGATAAGAAATTTAAGTTTAATAACAGCTGCTTGTTTCACAACTGACAATGGAGATAATCAGCTGAAACTAAAAGCGGCTTTTAATTTAAGCCTCAAAAGCAAGTCAGCAAAAGCTGCCATTGACAACCATTTCGAGCTGCTTACAAATCTCTGCCACACATGTATGACACATGTATATCAGTTCATATACACAAGTGTGTGTGTGGGAGAGTGTGTGTGTGTGTTGGTTAAAACCGCATACCGGTTAATTGCACATTGGACCCGGCTATGTTCAGATAATCGGCACATAAAGACATTTCATTATTGCCCTTTCGGTTATG